TTCTATTCATTTTTCGGCATGTCATAAAAAGTTTATTCATTAATTTTTGTCACCACATTCTAACGCTCGAATTCCACTTCGACTTTGCCTTTGAATTTGTTTTTTTTTCTGCGTTGCAATTTGTCAATAAAACGAAAAAAAAAATGAGAGAAAAAGAGTAAAAATGGCAGCGCACGCATTCGCTGGCAGGCCATTGGCCGCCATTAATCATTTGTGTTGGCCCCATTGACCGTGTCAAGACCCAATCGTCCTATTTGTTTGGCACGTGCCCTCCAGGCACCACAAATTAGATCATTAAAGGTTTCATACCCATTTCAGTCAACTCTTCAAAAATCAAACGTAGTGGCATCAATTGCTATCCGTTTTTATTCAAAGTGCCTTTTTTTTTTGGCTCGAGAGTAGATTACAAATTTGTTTGGTCTATATACCTAGCAACCGATGAGTATTTCAATTGAATTAATATACTCGTATATTTTTTGTAGTTTTTAGTGATGAAGCAAATGTTTCTGCCAAATAATTGTAAAATAAATTGTAAATAGAAACAATTACAATTCCATTTGATATTTTTTCCTATGAAGCTTAAAATACTTTTCGTGATTGAAAACACACAACGTCATTAAAATTTCAGAAAACTCGACCAGTACGAAAGTATTGGGACACAATCATGACTTAATACATTTATAAATGTGTATCAAAAATGTAATGAGCTTGTCGATGTCACGTGTCTAGGCAAATGTCAGCCAAATGGGAGCTTTATAGCTCAGAGCTAAGAGCAACGCAATTAAACACTTGATCTCTAGCTCTTGATTGAAAATGCCAATGTAATTAAAATCGATTGGTCGCACGGTCGCTCGGTCGCTCTGCCGGTTGGTCATCTGCTGTAGAAATTCAATATCATTACTGATGGCTTGACATAGGTCCGCCCAGTCCTAGGCTGAGGCTCAAACTCAAACTCGGGCTTCAGCTCTGTCGCCTGTCAAAAGAATCATCAGCATTTCGTGCAAGCGCCTGCCAGCACATGGCAGGACTATAAATATGGAGAATCTAACGCAAACTTTGTTGCATAAATTTGTGGCACATTAAATTTGCATAAAAAGTGCTTCAAGTTTCACTCAACGGTTGGCCAATTTGCCAAGTTAGCCAAATATCTCCAGTATGCAATGTCAATGAGAATGTGGACTCTGAACTCTCGACCGCCAGTCTCACCGAGTGTCTCTTATGCAAGACAAAACGGCAACAACGAAAAGCTCCTACAAGTATGAAATATGATTTCTGCTGTTGGCATGCGTCTTGTCTCTTGTCTACTAATTTCTGTGAATGTACAAGTCCGAATCGAGCTCCTGGCCTTCCTTTCTGACAGTTGCTCTTTCTGTCCGAGCCACAGCTCTCCTGTTTGTGGTCTTCGGTCATTTACATATAAATAACCAACTGGCGTACTCACACTCAGCCTGCCCGTCGGCATGTCCCGTGTCAAAGTAACAGCAACTTGTTATTGCGCGCATTGATTTACTGTCTCTTGTATCCATGAGATACATTCTAATACGTTTGGGGAGCTGCGCTGCGCTGCAACATCTTTGGCGTCTCGATGCAATCATTTCCCCTCTCTGCCACTGCATTTCGCATCTCCGCCCCATTTCTTCCACCGTCTGGTTCCATTTTAATGATTTTCAATGCATTACAGCCCGCCTTATGAGTTTCTGTTTTTTAAGATATTTAAATTTTTATTCGTTTTTATTTATGGCATTTATTGCGGCATATTATTGCACGCACTTCATTGAGCGAGTGCCGGCACGTGTGCTGAGTTATGAGCGCAGTATGTGTGGGTGGATGGACGATTTAGGCCTTTAAAATACTGTCGTTAAATGTTTAAGCGAAATGGCGTCCTAAGCGAGTGAAATGAAACTGTTGACTGTACGGAAAGGGAGCGGGGAGAGGCAACAAGGTAACCTGTTGGGTGGGAATTTAATACTCGAGGAAGTTCAACAACTTTTGTAATCTTGAAATTACATTAATGCTTATAGATAACGGAAAAATGTGTAGATCACCAACGATTTTAAATACGACATAAAATATAATTCATTCAGTATTTTCAGTATTTTGTTATACTCGTATCCACGAATAAAATCATCGTATTGTATTTGAAGTCAAATAGAACTAGTTTTGAGCAAAAAAAAACCGCATTAAACAAACAAAAGTCGTTTGCATAGCTACAAATTACAATCCTGGATTCCCATAAACCACACGTTGCGTTAGAAGGGTATCAAGAAACTTGCGTAGGCCGACAAAATTTTGCTTTTTCTGAACAATTTTTTTTTTTATTACATTGAAGCTGCCGCCCTTAGCTTAGCCTACCTATGTACATATGTGTAAACGACTGCAACAAGCTTGCAACACACACACACACATACATACATGCGTGGCACTCTTACATTTGTCATATAACAGTCTGCCTTCTCCCGCCCACAACAGACGCACAGACATCCGAAAAATCGTATTTTGTTTTATGCCTTTATTTTGTGATATTGCCATTGTTGTCGTTGTTGTTGCTGTTGGCTTTGCTTACTTGCCGCCTCTACAAAATATGTGCTCAAAAATCCATAAAATGTTTGCACATTGCAAAAAGCAACGCGCATGCTACTCCCCCTTCGCCCCTTCGCCCTCTCGCCCTAACCCTCGACCCATCTGCATTGTTATGTATTTTATACATTTGCTTTTGTAAAACCTTTAAGGCTACTTTATTTTTATGGCATGTGACATTTTGTTGCTCTGCGTTTTATTGCATTATTGTTTATAACGCTGTTGCTTTTTGTATTGAAAATCATTTTCTATAGAGACAGCCACAATAATAACAACAAAACCAGCAAAAAATTGTGCCAAAATGGAAAAATGTTTGCAAGTTCTTCAGCTTATTTAAGCGACCACTGCGAGATGGCTAATAAATAATAAGCCACAGCAGACGTGCCACAATAATCCGATACTAATAATAGCAACGGGAAGCTCAGCAAATAGCGTATTTCGTACAACTATTCGTATACTAGGTCAGAAACAATCAATGAGACTCAGTTACTAGCACCATTGTGTGCAAAATAATGGCAATACGAGAATATTCCCATTTAGCGGTATATAAATACATTTGTATTGTTTTGAACGAAGAGAAGTAATTAAGTATTTAAAACTAATTGTCACAACATTTAAATATTCATTCTAACAGAAAAGAAACTTAAATTATCTTGAATTCCAATTGAAAGCAAAAATGTTGGTCTGCTTCGAAGCTATACCCTTTATTTCGTTAGAAATAATTTTGTTCATGTCTTAAAAATGGATTGTGAATTTATATCACAGCCTCACATAATCCTATAATCATTAAGTTCCCCCACAACAAAGCGCATTAAAACTAGACAAGAAGTGTAGATTGGTTTCTTGGCATCGCTGGCCTGAAAGGACAGTCCGTCAATCAAAGTCCATTACTTGGCGACGTGGTCTGTAAATTAATGTTGCATACTTCTGTGCGCGGCGCAGACAGACGAACAATTACAGATACACAGTTGGCTTTGCTCAAATGAACCGCCCACTCTTATTTATCTGTCCTATTGGGTTTGAAGCCCACAGATTTATTAAGTGCCATTTCTAGAAGTTGGGCCGCTTTATAGGCAGACGGGACGCTCCGCCTGTTTTTCGTCTGTCTGTGTGTCAATGTTCGTGCTTTTTAGCTGTTGATTTAATTATCAATCCAAAGTTGCTTATTGCTTACTTAAGCACGCTTTTAATGCTAAACAGCTGAGGATAGGCCATTGCTGCTTTGCCTGTACTCAAGGTCGTTGGCCATTGTCTTGGCCAGGTTGGCGTGTCTGTTGAGCAGGTCGGGCAACAGTCGCTTCATTTGTTAGCGCCCTCAGTTCATTGGCCATGAAGTAGCTGCCTCGTCTCTCTTAGGATCTGGCCCAACCTGCACGTTTGGATGGTTTTTCTTCCCCTATGTGGTGCATAAAAATTACGCACCAATTTCCATGCAATTAATATGTAAATAATGCCAGCATCAATATTTGTGCTACTCATTCTTCTTTCTATGAGAATATTGACCTTGCAATGATGTATAAAATTGCTAAAGAAAATAAGGCAGTTTAAAAACACAACAAATTGTAATTGAAAAAAATAATGAGATGGTTGCTCTTGTAAATATATGCAAGGGTGTTATTTGATTTGATTTTCCATACAAATGCACATGAGTTGTGCTGCGCATGGAACATGGCTAAAAAAATTCGGAATTCACTATGACGGATGATGATATAAACGTGATTTATTTCTCACAGTAAGCACAAGTAAAGGGAACAAATTCTACCACAACTCTCTATTGTACATTTACTTTTCGATTACTCCATCGTGTCATATTAATGAGCTAATTTTTAAGGGGGTTATTTAGAACTAAGAACTCATTTCAAATATCTTTTTTTAGAAAGCTTTTCGCAATAGAGAAGTAAGACTGTAAATACGCCTCACTCCCTTTACAGTGAAAATGCACGGGCAATAGAAGAAGTCTAGGCGGGTATTTGTTATATTAAAAAGTGCATTCAGATAAAAACCCATTGAACAACAAAAGGGAAAACAAAATAAAATATCAGCTTGTTAAACATGTTCAATGTCAAAATCAAAGTCAAAGAGGGCAACAATACGTTGCCACGCAACAGCAATCGGAGCATGCTTTCCCAGAACAGTGGGCGTAACAGTCCCGCTTTGAGCAGCCTCCGCAGCTCGCTGGCCTCTTCCAATCGCAGTCCCAATGGCTCGCTTAAGCGGAAAGACAAACGCGTACGCATTGTCACCAGCTATGATCCGCTAGATCTCGAGTATGAGCGTCGGCGACAACTACAGCAGAAGTACGGTAAGATAGGAAGCCACCTTGAAAAGCAATCAGAACGAAATACTTGCATTGTAGAGCAATTGGAATAGAGAGAAAATTTAAGTTAAAGCATAGTAATTTCAAGAGCGGTTTTCTTTAACAGATGCACTCGACGGCGTCACGGAGCTGCGTGTGGAGCAGTATGAAATACATATAGAGCGCACCTCTGCCGGACTGGGGCTGAGCATAGCCGGCGGAAAAGGTTCCACACCCTTCAAGGGCGACGATGATGGCATATTCATATCGCGCGTTACCGAAGGAGGTCCGGCCGACATGGCCGGCCTTAAGGTGGGCGACAAAGTGATCAAAGTAAACGGCATCTCGGTGTCCGATGCGGATCACTACCAGGCGGTGCAGGTGCTGAAGGCTTGTGGTGCAGTATTGGTGCTGGTCGTGCAACGCGAGGTGACGCGGCTCATTGGACATCCGGTGTTCAGCGAAGACGGCAGTGTGTCGCAGGTAAAACAAAACAATCGGACGACAGCTGAGACAATATATATACCTGATTATCTTGTAGATATCTGTGGAGACGCGTCCGTTGGTGGCTGAGGTTCCTCGCGTAGCTGCCACACACGAACGTTATATACCGCCGCCAATTGAAATAGTTCCAGAGCAGAATCAGCTGTTGCAGCACCAACTACAAACACAACAACAAAATCAACAGCAATACACAGCTCCAGTTGTGCACAGCTACTCGGGCAATGTGTTTGCAACGCCCTCGACTGTTTCCGAACCCGTGTCTAACGGCCTCACTGAGAATGGAAAGGTAGAAGTCATCCTATTTAGTGCGTTTGTGACTCGTTGATTGATTTCTGTTGTCCTTGCGGTGGCTTTCTTTTTTGTTGTTCTTGCAGGACGCACCGTTAAGCTATATTCAGTTGCACACAACGCTCATACGCGATCAAATCGGCCAGGGTCTGGGCTTCAGCATAGCCGGTGGCAAGGGCTCACCGCCGTTCAAGGACGACTGTGATGGCATTTTCATTTCGCGCATCACCGAGGGCGGCCTGGCTCATCGGGATGGCAAGATAATGGTGGGCGACCGAGTCATGGCGGTGAGTATAAAGCGCACACGTAATAACGCCCCCTAAATGGCTTTTCATTGTATGATGTCCCACTCATTTGCCTCCAGATTAACGGCAACGACATGACGCAGGCACATCACGACGCAGCTGTTGCCTGCCTCACCGAACCGCAGCGCTTTGTGCGGCTCGTACTGCAGCGTGAATATCGTGGGCCGCTCGAGCCGCCCCTCAGTCCACGTAGCCCGGCGGTGCTGAACTCGTTGAGTCCCTCCGGCTATTTGGCCAATCGACCAGGTAAGTCACACAAGCAGCCCCCAGATATTTCAACTACAGTCAAGCTTCCCTATAGGTTGGCAACAAAAATTATCTACAGCGAATTAATTAGTTATTAAATTAGTTAGAATATTGCCTAAAGGACGAAAACAAATAAAATTCTATAACGAGAACAACTCTTTTTAGAATTATTCTTTAAAAAGGAGTTGTTAAGAATTTTACAAAATTCCGGAGATAAAATGTTCGTTCAATATTCGTTGTAGCTCATACAAAAAGGTCAAATTTATTAATGAATTTCATAGAATAGGAAACAGACGATGTTTCTTAAAAATACAATACCATATCATTTTGATAATTTGCATTATAGTCGTAAATGTCTGATATAAAGTATATACAAGGCGGACCCTTTAGCGAAGTTCGACTTTGTCAGTTAATCAACTTTTTGTTTTTGCAGCCAACTTCAAGCGCTCTGTGGGCGATGTGGGCGCCACTGAGATACAGCAGCCATACAAATACAATACTTTGGCGACCACGCCCACCGCAGCAGCTACATCTGGTGCTGCCTATAACTATAACAACAACGCGGCGGCCAGCAACACGCTGCCCAGTAGCAAGACAAATGGCTTTGCTGTTGCGACTCAGCCAGCTCCCATAGACAAGGTCACAGGTCAACCTGTGCCGGCGCCGCGTCGCACCAATTCCGTGCCACTCGGCGATAACGATGTGGCGCCCAATGGCGCTGCCTCCACCACCAGCGGTGATTCTGGCGAGGCTCAGGTATGACCTTCAAGCGTTTACACTCTTAAAGTTTATCTTAGACTTTGTTTGTCTAGTTTTGCACGTCATTTTAATGTTGCTCATAAGTTCGTTCGTTTCTTCATGTTCAAGTCAAGTTATACTACTATATAGATATACCCGAGCCCAACCCCAACCCCAAACCCAAACCAAACACATGAACACAACTAAATCGAATAAGTTTCGTAATGCGCTTTAACGCCTTCAGCCTGCGCTGCAGTTGGCATATGCTTGTAGTACATTTTCGATAAAAGTTTCGGATCGTCGTGCAGGTAAGTTTAAAATGTCAACTGCAGCGCAAGTGTTGCGTGCCCCTCGCAAAATTGTTGTTGATATTTTTAATCGAATTGCCAGATTTTGACAAATTCAAAGTAAAATCAATAATATATCTATACACATATTTATATCTAATTGTGCTAATAAATCTAAAAAGGGAAATTCTCTACACAAGTTAACCTTAGCTCTTAGATTCTACTACATACATACATACTTTGTAATCGTATACCTATACATATATCGAGTTTGTTTGTGTCTGTTTTGCATGTGTCGTGTGAAGTTCTTGTTGGTATATCGTATCGTACATATCTAAGCAACAACGCAATACATTTCTAGGCATACATACTCGTACAGTGATAACTATCCATATAAAGAACTAGAACTAGAGAACTAAGCGTGCACCAACGTTTTGTGTTGTTCCTCCACAAACTTGCTTACAGATCCTCCTAAACATGCATTCAAATATTTAGTATACCTTTATGTACAACTTTACAATACTATATGTGTGTGCGGTAGCACGCTAAGCTTACCTCATCGATCAAGTCGCACTGAAATAGCAGACAACGAAGACAGTTTAGTAATATGCTTAGGGCCTGTACATAATGCTCGAACCATATAGGCTTGCAGCTTAGCACTTTAGTCATTAGTTAAGCATTTACATTTAGTTTGCCCACCAAATTGTAAAACAAAATTTACAAAAATAAACCTATTTTTGTTTCTCTTTCCCGACCACATACAAACAAAAAACTATATATGAAAAAAAAAAAATCTAAAAAAAACCAAATGTATTATGAAATGCAACTGACTGTGTCGAAACTTTGTCCAAATCATATGCAAATTGAACCTGCATATGAACCTGCCACACCGATCAACCTATCGACCAACAACAACCTCCACAACCTGTCCAAATTCAAACCGCCAGCCTTCCTCACTGCGCCCGTTGACCAGCGAAGATTTTCAGGCGATGATACCGGCACATTTTCTCAGCGGCGGCAGTCAGCATCAGGTGCATGTGGCCAAGCCCAATGAGGTGGGCATCAGTGCTGTCACCGTCAATGTGAACAAGCCGCAGCCTGATTTGCCAATGTTTCCGGCAGCGCCCACCGAACTCGGTCGCGTCACCGAGACCATCACCAAGAGCACGTTCACGGAGACGGTAATGACGCGCATTACCGACAATCAGCTGGCGGAGCCATTGATCAGTGAGGTGACTATCACAACATCACGCATACACTAAAAAAAAAAGTACCAATACCAGAAAGAAAAAATAAATAAAAACAAGATAAGACATTCGTTGTTGTTGTGTGTAGAAAAACAAACAAAGAAATCGGTTCCAAGTCTTATTCCGGAGCCAGTTCCAACGACATGGACGAATTTCTGCTGTTCATTGATTGCATTGCGAATACTCTTCACACATGCACCAAAGCCTATTAAATACCAACACCAACACCACTACCACACACAACCACACACGTCACCACACATATACAAGTATGAATTTCAAAAAACAACCAAATTTCCCCCACAATTGGCACCAAATACAATTTTATACGCTGCGTCATTTATAGTTCGTAAGCACTTGTTTTGATTTATTGTAAATAAAAATATGTGCGTTTTGCAAATGATTTTATTTAACTGTTGGTCTGCCTGGCCGCACACAAACATGCCTCTAAACGTATACTTATCTGTGTGTGGTTGTGGCCCATTGATAATGAAATTTATGGGGCATGTTTGAGTGGCAATGGCACGGCAAATTGCCTTTGCCTCACATTCTTATTTTAAAGTCAAAGCCATATGCAAAGCAATGCACATTGACGGAGACAGTTTTGGCGAATCGGACTAAGTTGGTTTTGGCTTAAACTATGCCTAACATAGAAGTTACTTTTAGTCACTAATTTTACCAGAACTGCATGCAATTTTGTAATAGTTTTTAGTTTTTGATTACCTATTAAACTTAATTTATTTGTTTAACTGAAGTGCTAACAAATGGTGTTTTAGTTTTTCCCAAACTCTCAAAACTTTACTAAGCAACTAACTTATTCATTTAAATTGATTGTTATAATTACACATTCAAGTTTAATAATAATGGATGTCTAATTTCGAATTAACTTTCGTCAAGTTTCCACTTTCAATTTCTTGCGCCTTCTCTTCTCTTAATAATTTCGATCATTTAAGGATACAAAATCGCGGCTTTGCAATTGAGTCGATTTGAAGAATCGTCGCTTTTTAAATACAATTGCGCTATATAGGTTGAGGAGTATTGCTTCTTTTTTTTCTAGATCATTCACGATTCACTGACAAATGAAAGGGTTTATTATGGAATCTAAATCCCGATATCAGACTCTGTTTCAATCAATTCAAAAATTGATGTACACAAATTATTGAAAGGACCGACTTCGTCAGACATCTCCAGTATATAGCTGTCATCAAACCGAACTGATTTAGAAAAATTGCCTGACTTATAAAAATGCTTTAATCAATACTAACACAGCATTGTATTTGGAAAGGTATTTAGCTTTCGCGCAGGCTTTCGGTGATATTCTTATCATGTAAACATAGACTTTTGGAGTTTTGTTTTAGCAGTTTATACCCTTTGAAGTGTCCGATATATCCAATTGTAGGGGCCTCAATGGCCAGGTGTAAAGAATTTGCATAGAACTTTTTATATTCACTTTTAAAAAGTCTATAAAATATTTGCCATTAAACAGATATCCAGTCTTCTATATACTATATACATATATATTTGTTACTTGTTATTAACAAATTACTATGGGAACATACATTTTAGGGTCTCTAACATTTGAGTGGAACTAAACAAACCGAATTCCGAAAAATATGTAGGGGCTTCTTATCCAAAATATATATTTCCAGCATAGCTACAGATGTGCTTTTTAATTTGCTAATTTGTCATTATTATTTGTAAATATCTGAAATTTCCATCCTTTTTTAAAAACGGAGTAATTTTACCAAATTAAAACAAACTGAACTGAATTTGGCTAACTAACTTGTTAGAGGACGCAACACTTTTTCTAAATTAATCTCTTACTCGGAAAATACTTTCTATTTAAACTCTTCGCCAATACTTAAAACACGTAGAAAACGTGTTTAAGGTCGAGGGACAAATTAAATTGTCTTTTGATACGAGTTTCTTAATTTTATTTCATTACAACCAAATCGAAAATGTATAGAAAATAGAAAACAGAAGTAGCATACAGCGAGAAAAATTCCGATATTGACGCTCGAGCAGAAATGTAAAGTTGCCATCCCTCTACTTATCCCTTTACTTTACGTATATATGCATTTTTTGGGGCAACGTCTCTCTGTCATATCCTGGACAGCTCATTATTAAGTCACACTAAAGAGTCACTCGAGGACCAGCAGAGAATCTCTGCAACAAGCTTTCGTGCAGTTCTATGGCCCCATGTAGTTCATGATTTAAATAAATGAATAAACACACTATTTAAATAATGCAAAATGCCAAAAGCTGTAGCTGCTGGACAGAATGACAACACTTGAGGGACGAGGGGGGAAAAACAAGTGGCGAAGGAAATGAATTTGGTAGACATGATAGAAGGACGTGCCCACGTATTTCAAAACATTTGTCCACCCGCTTCTGTATATATTAAACGTATAGTATGTGCCGTCTCTTGTGGACTTGTGCACTGTGTTTGCATTGCAAACACTTGACTTTGTCAAAAGGCACAAGACAGTTGCACTTGATATGTAAATATCAACATAACACAGTTAATTGTTTTTAATATTTCTTGCTGACATTTTTGGCAATCTTGCAATTGGCGCTGATGTGCCAGGGCGATGAAAGAAGCAGCTACAGCGAAATTTGAATTCAAATTGCTTAAGTGAGTTTGAAAACGTTTTCGAACGCCCCCACAAACATATTATGCTCATAAGATTGCATATGTGTGTGTGTGTGTGTGTGTGTGGTCGTACGTTCTTCTTGGCAACCAAAAGTACTGTCTTTGTGGGCGCCTAATTCCTGGAAGTCCTCTTCTCCTCTGCTAATGAATATAAAAGTTAAATTATCATCTTTTGGCATTTTCATATAAAATGCACAAGTGCATGTTGTGGTATGTATGTATGTGGGTGGGTGGGTGTTTGTGTGTGTGTGTGTGTGTGTGTGGGAGGGATGGTTGTGAAGCTCTGAATTTAAATTGCGTGTGCCAAACCGCAGTCAGTGGCAAACGACAAGGCTACCTGCCGTTTGATGCTTCGGAGATGCCTATTCCCTTTTTGGTGATTGAAATGTGGCAAGAAAAGCACTTCGTTCCCTTGGGCTGCATGTCTTTAAGATAAATAAAACTTCTTCGTATATGATTTAATATAACTTTTAAGTTATTTGTAAGCCAAGCACATAAAAGTACAAGTATATGCATTTTTTTAAGAGCGTGGTCTGTTTCCTGCCGGTTTGTGGCCCTTGTTTGTTGGTATACTATAAGTAATATTTTATCTGAACTGCATGGTTTTTGTTTTTGTCTTATGGTGTCAGATTGTTTTTGTCAAACTAAATTTTTCTCTTATATGTGTATGTAAATATCACCAACAATTCTGCACACACAACCACAACAAACATAAGAGCATCACCTCACGTACATACATTTCAACACAAGCACATTTCACGAAGCGCTCTAGAAAGGAACACAGCAGTCTTAGTATCTCTTCTATCCTTAGTTTGTTTTCATTGTTATATTTCGCTCCTGATATGCAATTATAACTCTATTACTACCCCTCCAGGAGGTTGTGTTGCCTAAAAATCAAGGGTCCCTTGGCTTCAGTATCATTGGAGGTACGGATCATTCCTGTGTGCCTTTTGGCACACGAGAGCCCGGCATTTTTATATCACATGTAAGTAACCTGATCCTAAAAAACCTCTTATGAAACTCTCATTGAAACTTTTCAAAACAAAACTCAATATGCCTTATAGCTAATAATTTGTTATTCCAATTAGATTTACTTGAAAAAAAGGAACATCTTGAAATATTAGCAAATAGTTTTCTATAACTTATTAGTATTTTATTATTTTAAACATCAATCAAGATTTCTGCAGTCGCGATTTTAATTTTAGTTTTCAATAAAGGTTTTAAAGACTTCAGATAATTCTGTTTTCTGAGTTTTTCTTTATTTTAAATTCCCTATCCCTCTTGCTCCTGTTAGATTGTGCCCGGAGGTATAGCATCAAAATGCGGCAAACTACGCATGGGGGACCGCATACTGAAGGTCAACGAGGCGGATGTATCTCGGGCGACCCACCAGGAGGCGGTGATGGAGCTCTTGAAGCCCGGCGATGAAATCAAGCTCACCATACAACATGATCCTCTGCCGCCTGGTTTCCAGGTAAGCTTTAATAGGGCTTTCTCAATTCAAAATTAGTTGGCCTAAGTAACACGCGATGTATATAATGTAGTTGTACATATACCAGTATGTATGCATAAGTATTTGCTTTGAGTCTACACTAGATACTTCTTTATACTTCTCATTTTTATGCTAAACAATTCGCTACGCAAAGCACATTGAAGTAGTTTATATAGACACAGAGGTAAGCTTTTATATTCGCTAAATTATTCTTCTTCCAACGAAAAAGCTGCAAGAAATCGTTTTATTTCCAAACTGATTATAATTTCCTATATACTACTTATAAGTAGATAGAGCTACAATTTTGTTGTGTGCCGTAATTGTTTTCAAAGGCCGCTGGCATTTCTTTTTCGATGCACAGCATTTTCAATTATGCAAATGTTTTCCCCGTTATGTTTTTGCTATCGTTTATGGTATAGACCGCTATTTTCTTTTGTCCTGCAATTAGTTGACCTTTTACCTTTCGTGCCTCCTTCATTCTTAACAATTGCTTACATATTTTCATGTATATGTAAATGTGTATATTTTTTGCGCCCACTTATTGCTATTTCTGATTTTCTGTTCTTTGTCTTTTTGTTTTCTATCACAATAACAGGAAGTTATACTCACAAAGGCTGAGGGCGAGCGCCTAGGTATGCACATAAAGGGCGGCTTGAATGGACAACGCGGCAATCCCGTGGATCCCTCCGACGAGGGCGTATTTATATCCAAAATCAATTCCGTAGGCGCGGCAAGACGTGATGGCAGACTTAAGGTAAGTAAGCGGGTGATACTAGAGCCCTGATTAGGCAGCAGCTGTCAATTTGCGTTATTCATTGCTTTGACAGTAGTGGGCGTTATTGGCTGATAAGCATTTTTCAGATGACTTGCCAAATCAACAAAAGCCACAGAGTATTTTAACAGCGCCTTTAGCGACATCCCCACACAGAGAGAAAGACAATTTTACATGCCCCCATCTTGTTTTTCCTTTGTCTACAGGTGGGCATGCGCCTGCTCGAGGTCAATGGCCACTCGCTGCTGGGTGCCTCGCATCAGGATGCAGTAAACGTCCTGCGCACCGCGGGCAATGAAATAAAATTGGTCGTCTGCAAAGGTTACGACAAATCCAATTTAATTCATTCCATTGGCCAGGCCGGCGGCATGAGCACTGGCTTTAATTCATCGACCTCTTGCAGCGGTGGCAGTCGTCATGGTAAGTAAGAAGCAATGTTTAGCGTTCCATTTGTGTATTGTTTCTCCTATTGTCGACAGGCTCGCGCGCCTCAGAAACAGGTTCGGAGCTGAGTCAAAGCCAAAGCGTTTCCAGCTTAGATCACGATGAGGAGGAGCGTTTGCGACAGGTACGTTTGGAACAAGCGGCTAATTAGCTTAAATTTTCAAGCAAAAATATTCACGTGAGACTTGTTGGGTTCCGCAGGACTTTGATGTGTTTGCCACCCAGAAGCCTGAGGTGGTCACGGGTGAGCCGACAAGCCAAACGGGCTTGGCAGCTGCCGCGGCCTTGGTGCATGGCGCGCCATCACCCACACTGCCTGCAGCCACGCCCTCGCCTGCTGCTGATTTAGTGCGCAGTCAAACGCCTGTTGCGGCAGACACGTCAGCAGCTCAAACCGTGGCGCTCATTCACGCCGAACAAGCACAACAACACCAACAGCAGACGCAGCTGGCGCCACTTGGTCAGGAGAAGAGCACCCAGGAGAAGGTAAGACAACGCCATTGGCAGTTGGCCAAAGGCGCCATGCAATACTTGAATCATGTGGCAAGACATAAGGGTAATTAGAAAAAGCGATAAGAAGCGACAGATCCAATAAAGGATAAGTATTCTAAGAGGTTCCTAAGATAGACGAAGGACACGTACTCGGTTTTATTTGGTTCATGAAGATATTAAATGGTATTTATTTCACACTTAACCTGAAGGATAAAGAGGGCAACTAATGTTTGTTCATATAATGTAACAGGCAGAATGAAGCCTGACTTTCTCTTCGATTCACAATTTAGAAAAAAAATCAATTATTAAACACAAATTTAAATAATATCAGAACGTTTTTTGTTGGTATAGGTTTCATTTTGAAAGCCACCTAACTAATCTCAATCTCTCTCCATCGAATGCTCCAAAATAGGTGCTGGAAATTTGTAGGGCTGCAGACGCCTTTACCACCGTGCCACCAAAGTCTCCCTCGGAGCATCCGCATGAGCAGGACAAAATACAAAAGACGACAACGGTTGTCATATCGAAGCACACCCTCGATACGAATCCTACAACACCTACAACTCCGGCGACGCCCCAACTGCTGGCGCCGCTTCCATCGTCGGCGACAGTGCCCGCAGTCGAGTCAGTGGCCGCCACATCGACACAGACTCCCCAACAACAACAACAGGTATGTAACTGAAAGCACGTTTTTCTTAAAAAAAAAAAAAAAAATTTACTATATATATTGATACATAAAATATATATGTAATAAAGACTTTTGTGTCTGTGTGTTTCGTTTTTGTTTTGTGCTTGTCTGTCTGTACATATGTATACGTATGTGTGTCTGCCGAGTTCTTTTTGATTTTGTATGTAACTTTTAACGCACATACCAACGAACCCACCAACCAACCAACCAACCAACCAACCAACTTACTCGGCACACAACAAATGAGTGCAAACCCAGCCAACAACACCCTTACCTTAACAATTTCTGCTTGTTATTGTTTCTTTTATTTTATTATATTTACGCTTTATTTTTACTAATGTCTGTGGCTGTGTTTTGTGTGTGGATGGTATGGATTTTTGTTCATGTTCTGCGTGTTCACACATTTTACATTTCATGTGCGCCACATTTGTGTTGAACGTTTAATACACTTATATAGTACTATACTCGAATACTCAGAACCAGCAACGACCGGAGAATTGTTCGACTCTCGCCCACACGCACTCACCCACACAGAGTTCGTTCGCCTCGACTGCACAGGTTTTGTGTTCATTTTGTGTTAGTGTGTGTGTGTGTGTGTGTGTGTGTGCGTGTGTCTATTTGTTTTCTAAGAAGCAATACTACAATATTACCACAATACACAAAAACCTTGCCTCATGCTAGAATCTCAAACATCTCATTCGCATCATTAAAATCCTGATTAAAAAATAAACAAACAGGAGCGTGCAAATCGATTTAACTACTTGTTATTGTTGTTGTTCTGCTTCTTGTTTTCACAAAATTGTATTGGAGCTTTTTTGAATATTTTTGTTGCCTACTTATTTGGGCGCCATGGCTATGAAAAGTATGAGTTATATGTATATATCTATTCACATACTAGTAAATGTATGTGTTTGCATGCTACTACGGTTGTTGTTGTTTTCAATAACTACGCGCTATGCTTTTCATTCGGTTTAGCTTTTGTTGCACTGCACAAGTCCGCTTCAAGGAGCTGCCTACATTTATTGATATGGCAGCAGACGATTTATTATTTATTAGCATATTGGCTGCTGCTTTTCCAGCATCGAGGGCTCCACCTTGTGTTACCTTTACCTGTCCGTGTATTATTGTTGTTATACCCTGTAACCCAAGGATGAAAAGGGTATACTAGAAATGCCAAATTTACATCATAGTAGCAGACATGAAATGTCCCATGTGATAGGTATATAAATGTATATGATCAGCATAATGAGCCATTTACATATGTGTAATCAGTGTTTCTGTCCGAACAATAGCTTTTGGAGCATCATTGCTTGGACCCGTCATATCCACAGGCAGACCAAGTATATTAAATACCAGCCTTATTCTTTTAATTATTTTTTTCTATGGCTTATACAAATTTATTTACCACACTTGGTATTTATGTAAATCTTCAAATAGCTGTCATATGAACGATTTTTTCTTAGTTAATTTATTGCGTCAAAAGAGGGGCAGGTATAGGGTATGTGGGCGTTCTGCTTGCCGGACTTTAACGTTGTACTCGTTTGTGTTGTTGTTGTTATTATTTATGCTACTTACACATTATGTTATATTCACTTGCCGTATTGTTTGTTGTTGTCTGCCTGGCTCGTGCCCTGGCTAGGTCGTCGCATCAGGCGTTTTTTGTTACATGAATACATACAAACGTAAATCTATATGGCTGTTGTTTTTGTTGTTATTGGTAATGCTGATGCTTACTTTTAAAGCCTGTCGCATTTGAATTTGCATTGAAATAAAAATATATAGATAGATGGCTCGTATAATAAATGTAAATGTAAATAATTCAAAAACTGCAGAAAGAGATTTCCATTAAAATGTCTCTTATCTTCTTCTCGTTCTTCTTGTTTTTTCTTCATTCTGGATTACCCGCGCGGCATTTGCTGTTATTTTATGTTGTCTTTCATGCATTCTTTTCTGTTTGGGTTTTCAATCTCTATCGCCATTTTTTTTCCTCCGTACTTTCTGTATCTTTTTGTTTCTGCGCCGCTTTGTTTTGTTGTTGTTTGTTGGTTTGTTTTTTTGTGTTCATTTCATTGCAGCGCACTGCTGAGCAGCGTATTGCTTAACAAGCGGATGTTTATAACTATAAGACTGAATATTTAGTTTAAAATACAAAAGAAAACAAATTGCGATTTGCTAGCAACAAACAACCAATCGACTACTACAGGCAGAGCAACGTGGCGTATGCGTTATGTATAAGTTCAAGGTTTTAAATAACAACAGTAAGAGATCCAAACTATGCCAAAATTGGTGCACGGCTAAAAGTTACTACTACTTAGGCAATTACGTAGCCATATGAGGCTATATACTACTTGCTATATACCGTGTGCCATCATCAAATTGAATCAAAAATAGCAAAAAACAAGCAAACAAACTGATAATTGAAAACTACACTCTCAGCAAATGGTTTCAATGTCTCTCTTGCTCTCTCCACAGATGTGTGTCTTTATAGCCAACACTAATCAAAATTTATACACAAACACATGTACACACATACACACCCTCGAAGCAAATGAAACACTATAGTCCCTCCTATTATTCAATAATTGAAAAAGAATGTACATTGTTAGTCTGCAAATCTGAATGTATTTATAGCATTTGCAGTATACAAACATATATGTCTAATTATACAACATAGCCTTTCGATGTTTATATGTGACAGTTTTACAGAAAAACACACATATATCGATATACCTATCTATATCTTCTATGTGTAAAGACATTATTACTATATGTGTAACACATGTGCGCCAAGCACAAAAAAAGGTCCAAATAATGCAACTGAATAATACTCGTTAAAAGCAAAGTGTCAAACAACAAGTTGTTAAGTATACCTCTAATGAAAAACAAAATGCAACAATTTGTAGGAGTGTATGTTAAAGCCCAATAATTGTAATTGTTTATAATTGTTAATATGTTTAAAGTTAAAATTTGTATTATCAATTATTATTATTACTTGTACTACGTGTACTCGTATATGTGTGTTAATTGTGCACGGCTCCTTTGAGGTTTTATTTCTGGTTTCAGTTTCCCAGTTTTTGAAAAAGTTGACAGTTTAGTTTGACTTGAATAAGAACGAGCTATCAATATTATGTCAATAAAAGCAATCTTAATGTTTTTGTCGTACAAAAGTTTACAGCAAATGTATTATTATGTCTTTTGGGAAGTAATTGCAAATCCAAGTAGGTTGTTTCGCAGAGAATTTTTTAATGAAGTTCGCATGATAACATCAATATAGAACGACTTAAAACAAAAAATTCGCATACGTAAATTATTTAGAAATTGAAAGAAATTGCGAGAATTGTAAAATTTGAATCAATCTCTTACTGCAATGTCTACTACTCGGACAAGGATGTCGCGTTTTGTTTTTGTCTGCTCTAATAATTTATAATTTAGATGTTTTCGTTGCGCTCTATTTCAATCTCGTATGTGCTACATAGCTATCCAATGTATTTTGTCCGCTGTACGCTGTACTTATTCTCCTGTGTTTTTCATCAACATCATCAAGAAATCTGGCTGCACTTATCACCTTCATCTTCGTCGTCATATCAAAGCAAAACGTCATATGGTAATTGGCTACAGGCTCTCTAGTGGCGTCCAAACTGAGAAAGTGTCATCAGAAAAAGTATTAAAACATATCTCTTTTAGCACCAAAACATTCCAGCCATAAACACACACAGCAATATAACAATAAAAAAACACAACACTATCTTCACATACCCACGAAAAATCACAACATACACATACTCTTAACGCCGCACTGCAATTTGTGTTAAAATCTGTGTGTGTGTGTGTGTTGCAATTGTGCACAGAGAAAACTGAAGAACTAAATGAAACCCCAAAATCTATTAGCAACGCGCTACGCAGACGCCAGAGCGATTGGCACCAGGGGCCCGCTACTCCTATCAACAAATGTTGGAGAATAAAGAGGACACCACAGATGGCAACAAGCTGCCAGCGAAGCCCAAAAAAGCCGAGCCCGTTTACATAATTGATGACGATGACGAAGATGATGAAGACAATGAAGATGAACAACCTTACGTGGAAGATGACAACGATCAGGATGAGGACGACTCCCAGCAGCACGAGTCTTCACCGCCCTACGACTGGCAATCCCCCCCATCCTATGCCGATACTGACTCCGATTGCTTTGACCGTCAGCGCGGTCGTTACACAAGCGATTCGGAGAGCGATAATCGAACGAAAAAGCCGCGTTCTGGTCGCAGCACCCCAGACAGTAGCACATACAGTGGTGTACATCGCAAATCTGTGAGTTTTGACCTTAGTGGAGATGAGCGTTCAAAGTCAGACTACGAACGCTCACGTACGCCAGATGGGTACGGTCGTGCCTACGATTCAGAGCAGGATTCACGTGGTGCAAACCGAACGCGAATGCCTCGCAAGGGAATTTTGCGCGCCACTAGTCCTAGTTCTTCGACTACATCCTCACTGGAACGTTATCAACAAGGGCGACCTGAGAAGCTAGTGCCTATTGTACCGACAGTAGCGCGCATCAAGGAGGTAGACTCTCCACAGTTGCAGCGCGTTTCGCGTCCATCGTCGCCAGAGCGTCCAGTGAGTCGCAGCAGCAGTGGATATCGTAGCCCGCCGCCACCACCGCCCGCTGAGAGTGTTTTGCCAAGCAGCGAAATCGAACGTGACAATCCCTTCCGAGGTGCAAAGGAGGATGAGTACACAGCTATAGCTAAGGCGATATCAAGGTCCCCACGTTCTCCGCGCTCACCACGTGATCAGTTCTTTTTCCCGGGTGCCTCGAAATCAAGTGAAGATTTACTAGAACAGTCACCTTCTAGCGGTCGCAGTACCCCCAGTACGGTGATATCCAAGTCCACAGAAAATTTGACTGGCGCACGTCCGAAGGTACCGCCGCCTACATTACCCAAACCGCAGCTTAAAAAAGCGGACCTGGTGCGAAATTTTGCGTTGGAGAGCTTCCAAGCCAGCGATGTGGGTCATGGCGATTTTGCAGTCTTCGAGCATGATGTACATACAAATACCATACATCCAGTGCCGGTGCCCCCCTCTCCAGGCAATAAGTTGCCTGTGAGAGTAGGTGCTAGTAGAACTTTGCGTCCCCGTGAAAGTCCACCGCTGCCCCCCGTCAACTATTCCACAATGCCCAAATCTCCCGCACCACCTACGACAGTCCCATTGCTTGAGGAATCCCTATATATGGAGGCTCTGCCACCATCGCAGCGTCGCCCTCATGACTTTGTCCATGAGAATTCACCTGACAACATTCTTGTCACCCCACAAGAACATCGCGACATATTGCTGCGAGAGAACGAACTACGCAATCAGCTGCGACGCGGCCAGACTCCTGAACCAGGTGTGCCCTGTGAACCGGCACCACCGATACCCATTGTGGGTGGCAAATATGCGGTAAACCCCTTTCTTGATACTTGCGATGATAACATTGACAGTCTACCATTGCCACCACCACCACAACTGGCAGTTGACAACGAAATAGACACCGATCCATTCAACATCACCCAACACTCACATCATTTGCATGAGCCACAGAACACAAACGCCGGCTACTCAACACCACTAACCACTGTCGCCACTAACGCATCTTCTTCTAATTCTAACCACACGCCTAACATGCCGCCATCGTCTACTCAGTCGCGCCTGATGGATGCCGCAGCGCCTCAACAGCTGGTCGGTGGCCCAAATACGGCCCTTTCACCCACTCAAATCTTTCCCACGGCGCAAATACTGCCCGTACAGTATGCGAGTCTGCCGCAACCGCAGCAGCCCAATACGCTTACTTTGAACCAGGGTATCCCCCAACAAACCGCCCAGTCCAACCCCCAGCCACAACCCATTTTCAATCTTGGCGGTTTTGTGCTGCTTCCCCAAGCCCAATACATGTCCAGTCACGCCACCGACCAGAGCATCGTTTCGTCGAATGCCTCAGCTGTTCTGCTCACCGGCGCGGGACCTGTTTATCTGCAGTCGTCAATGCTCCCGCCCGCGTCGTCGTCTCAGTTACCGGTGAGTGAAATGACCACGGAGCCAGTAGTGTCGATGTCATCGCCAATGGCTAAAATCAGCGTCACCCAAACACCCGCTAGCGCCAGCAGCAGCGCCTTCACTACCACCACAACGAACAGCAGCACTACACCAACGGTTAGCTCACCTACTCCCTCGTATGCCGCAATGAAATTTCCTACTTTCTCGGAAATTGTGGTCAGCCCCGACTCAAATAGCAATTACCAAAACATGACCACAACGCGCATTATCAGCAGCAAGGGCAGCGGCTCCATCGCACAGCATAGCCAACTGCTAACCGTATCGAATTCGTCCCTAGGCACCTCCTCCTCCTTCTCTATAGACTCGTCCACATCATCGTTGCAACGCAACGAGACACAGAACGCGGCAGCGAGCTATTATGAGACAGCAGAAGAAATTTACTCCACCATTGAGGAGGAGGCTATCTACAGCAATACGGCATTCTTTGACTCGCGTCGGAGCAGTGATACTTCGCTATCCTGTCGTGCTTCCAAATCCCCATCGCCGCCGCCTTTGCCACCAAAGCGGCCGCTTCAACCGAGCAAGTTGCGCACAGCGCCCGCACCACCAGTGGCCCGCAAGCCTTTTGGCTTACGCAGCGCTTTCAAGCTTCGCTCACAGTCTCAGCCACAATTGGTTCAGGTAACTGCGGTGACGTCACCTTCTCGTTTGCCTGTCACTCCAACGTCGCCGGGCAAGGAAACAACGGTGTAGTCCGCTTTTTATTTAGCCAGCACAAGTTAGCGGCGCTTTAATTTGTTTCGAAGCTGCTCGCATCTCTTTTGCTTTAACTTATGTTCTTTTTTATGTTATGGTACTGGCAGCTCATACATTTTAATTAAAATTTAACACCTTTTCGCCATCAATTAAACAGCCCCCCCTCTAACCCCACCGCGCCTCTCCATTATCGAACGCCTCCGAACGCTCCTGCTCCGTTCTTGTACTGTGTGCAGATTTCAATATTTTTGTTTGAGTTGTGCGAGCTCGTTGCATTTGCAGTTGGCGCTTAAATTGATTGATTGACTGCTGGCTGTGTTGCTGTGTGGCTGGTCCTAGCACCATTCATTTGCTCGCCGCACCTTTGCTGCTAATTAGACGTGACTCTTTGTTGACTTTCGTCCGGTTGTCGGCGCCCAATGGGGGGCCCATACACAAGTTGCAGTTGAAATTTAATTGCATGCGCGACTATTTAGCTCTGAGTTCTAGACAGGTTTAACTCTGATGGGCTGCTTTAATTTGACGTTGATTGAAATATTTGGCTGCTTAAGGACAAAAGCTTGACGCTCCCTTTTTATACTTCTCCTCTCTTGTCCAATTGCATTTTGCGCTACACATCCTGAGGCTCACTCTTCGTATTCCAAGTCTTGGTCATTAATTCTGTGAGCACTTACTATGAACACAAAAACTTTCCACGAATGCAACGAAGAAAATACAAATACTATATACACCCACACACGAATACAATTTATAAAGTTACATTTTTTAGAGCTCTTAAGTTGTTTTGAAACTAATTTATTTGTACGTACCAAAACTGACGCACAAAAACAAATGAAATTTTATTGCTTAGTTTATGGCAAATAAATATTTTGTACCTCCACCTTTTAGCTTTCTTTCATTTTGTCGTTTGTCCCCAAAGAACCTACATGTTTCATGGGAAGTAAATAGCAGATACTCGTATGTATCTGAGAACATTTTATGAAAATAAAGAATAAATGCTATTGCAAGATCTACCAACAATATCAGTATTGGACCTCAATTATTTTCATGAATTTATAAATTTAAAAACCAGGAGTATAGATGCAAATAGAATAGTTCAGAAAAATATCCACTATTCAAATTGTTAATTAAAGCTAGCTTCTATTAATTAAATTTATATTTTTCATTCACAAATTTGCTCTCTTCACAATTGTTGTAAGAGAAAACTGCTGACATTTGCAATTCACACTATCTGTCAATTAATTAGGCAGACAGTAAAAGTATTTCACATATCTACTTGTAGTATTGGGGGAAGGCAAGCGGTTTAATTTTAGACATATTTCGAGTATATGGTCATTTAAAATCGTTATTTTATTTGCTCATAACCTTGACCCACTTGCACCTGAGGTATCGGTTCGCCAATCGTGGCGAGCCGTTAGCTTTTGCGGCAGCTCCCGCACTGATTTAACAATTGCTCATAGAGCCCTTTATATAGAGCTCATTTGGCTTTTTTCTCCGTCATGTTTGGTAATTTTTCAGTTATCTTATCAATTCACACATTAATTATGTGCGATAAGCGTGTACCTTTCTGCACTTGTTCGCATTTCAACATTTGGCTTGTTATCTGGTCACCTGTTCAACTCCTTATCTGCGCGCTGTGGCAGTTTCTGAATATTAGTGGCCCCAATATTTATTATATTAGTCATGCACTCCCGCACATTCACTTTTCTCCTCCGCTTTGCAACACTGCAACACTTTGCAATTCTGCTAGTTGCTTACTAATACTAATACTCTTCGCTTCTGCCCTGCCTGAATTATTCAATCGCTTCAATTGGCTTTTAATGCATCAGAGCGCTGTACTGTTCACTCTGCTTGGCTTTTGCTCGTCGCTGCATTCTCAACACTTTCATGGGTCAATAAATTTCTATTAGCTTGACTGCTAGACAGGGCAAAGGCAACAGACAGGGACAGCGGTCCAGACTGGACACTGAACGCCAGCCAATGCCACTGCTACTGCTTGTTGTTGTTATTGCTGCTTCTGCTGCTGCTGCTTCACTTTAATTGAAAATCGAAAAATCTGATACGAAATTAATTTCTTTGCTAAAAACAGACACACTCACATGGACGTGGCTCATAGTTTCCCTCCTTGTACTTGTCGTTCGTTTGCTTTATTTATGAGCTTGGCCTGTGTATCCTCTTAATATGTGCAAGTCGGTGTGTATGCCTGCACTCAACAAAATACATTCCTAATCGAAGCTCGAACAGAATGTTTTTATAAAGCCCTAAGACGAAATGATTAGAAACTGCTCCCAGCTGCGCTAGCTCTTGATAATACCTGAAAACGGCGATGCCTACCTAAAATAAAAACCAAAAGTTTAGAAGCTATACGCACGCTAGAAGCACTCTTCCACCCACAGATCGGTTTTAATATTTGAAACTTATTATTATTTAAATATTGCTACCACTCCTCATTTTCCGGCTTAGGACACTTTCTGTTGCATCTGATGTTTATAATTTGATTGAAGTCGGACTCGGATCAAAAGTCCTTAGTTTTTCTTAAATGAACGCTTTTTCTAACCGAAAAAATTGTATATTACGTTTAAATATGTAACAAGCAGATGGAGACAAATCGTCTGTCTGAATGAACGGCTGGATTTCAGAAATGCCTGAACCCACATTGACCAAACTTTCTTTGTAGACTGGTCTAACACTTTGGCAACTGGAGTTTGTATTTTTGGCTTATCCTCACAAAAAGTATTAGAGAAACAATTTTACTTCATAACTACGCCCTCAACTGCAGCCGAAAGTGTTGGATGCGGCGTATTTTACAGTCGGACCAGACATCATTTTGTTTGACCTATTTTTCTAAGTGTCCTCCTCGTATATGTGGTCTAACTGAGATAAAGGATAAGGTTGCACTTTGTGCAGTTTAACGCTGGCTTTTTCTTTGGGTTCGACTTTTCGCTTGCCTGCTGCTCTGCCTCTCTGGCATTAATGACATTGTCGTCGCTCCGAGCTGCAGACTGTACTGCTAACTACCTGCTGCCCCAATGCCGTCTCCTGTGACTTTATCCGGCGTCCTTGGCAAGCAAAGCCAACTACGCGTCCTCATCGTCGCCGTCATCATCGACTCGTGTTGCCCAAAACGCTGGCTATTGCAGCCATGTGGAGAAATTGTACGAAAGCATAAAACCGACAGTACATGACTTTGGTTGATAAATGACCAGAACCTAACCAGCCAACCAACTTACCACCCCAGTAACTGTGTAATTTGCGCTGGGTGAGCTCCAGCTCGAACCAAACAGCCGCCCATTGTAAATTATATGCCTTGGCACGAAAACAAAACAAAACCCGCCCAACACTATTTGTTGGTCACTTTATGATTGAAGCTAGAGAGCTTCTGTTACGAGTATTCTGGCATCCTGCTCTGCTCCCATTCAGAAGGACACACAGAAAGCAGGCGTTCGTTGCTGGATGCCGCTTTTTAATAAACTTGTGTAGTGCCATCAATTTTCTTTATGGTCGTTTGGATTTTTAGCTTTGACTTTGAAAATTGCAGTTTTTCCAGGCCGTTTAATTGAAAACAGCATAACGCAGAGAACTTACTCAACCCCCCTCCAGTCAGTCAGTCAGTCAGTCAGAAAGTCAGACAGTTGGTCAGACAGTGTGTCTGTCAGAGTTGGACCATTTTTTATGTTTATTGATTTTACTGTGTAAGTGCCAACTGGAAACAATGGCTAACAAAAAGCTTTTGAAATTTTACAGTTAACACCTTCGGAAACTGCTGCTGAAAGTGAAACACACACAAAAGCAATACCAACAACAAACATACCAACTAAAGTGCCTAAATCGGTATCCGATAAAAAACGCTTCTTCGAATCTGCTATGGAGGAACAACACAAGCCCACACAAAAGACAGGTAAGTCTTTAAATAAAGCTGCTTTATAATTAGTACAAGACTATTTACAAGACAAGTGAGATAGAACATTGTCCAAGAAATGTGACCAATTCAAATAGATGTGAGTTAAGTATTTGTAGGCGTATTATGGGCAAGACTACAAGTATATTACTTGTATTGCGTATGTTATTCAGTTTCATTATGTATTCTGCATGCCGCTATCTATGCCAGACTCTCATTTTATAAATTAACTTACAATTCTGGGGAAACATTAAAGACAGCCAAGCAAGAAATTTAATTCTGTATAAAATGAAATGCCACTTGAGCAGCCTCAGAGTGTACGCTTCCTATCGGTTTCTATTGCAATTGCAATCCAAAGTTGAACTTGACTCTTATCACTAGTTGTTGCTCAGTGGCCTGTATAATTAAAAGGAAATAGATATAGATGTGCGGCGGGGCAGGTGGGGGGAGGGCGCATCATTTGCATGGCAAAGTCGTGGCATGGCCTGTCTGGCAAGTCGAGGCATGTGCAGCTGCCACGCAGACAGCTGGGGTCAGTGAATCAGTCGCTATTCAGAGTCAGCGGATTTTCACAGTAAGCTAGCGCTATTTATTTAATTTGCTAATTTATTTTTATTGCTTTGGGTTTGATAGTTGGCCTCGAAACTTCGGCTTTTTAATGGGCTGCCTGCTTGACCCTCTGATGTGCGTAATGAGTGAAGGAAAGTCGGGCAGTCAGGCGGACATAAACGTGTATATGTAGTAGTTGTTGATGGCTCATATAACTTTTATTTCTTTCGCACCCGTTCTCGGTCTCGCTCTCGCGTTCTCTAGAAAAAGTTTTCTCATTCCTGTCAAAGGATGAAGTCGAGAAGTTGAAGCAGGAAGAGGAGAAGAAAATTGCAACATTGCGTCGTGATAAGAAATCCAGATTATTCGATGCCCCTGCCATCAGCCAAATTGACGAAGACGATGCCAGGCATTCTGATAAGCAGCACAGGCATAACACACAGCATAACAACGATGATAATGCCAGCTCGGGCGACAACAACAACAGTAGTGCCGATAGCAGCATTAATGACGCCGAAAGCGATGCAGGATCAATGAAGGCCGTTCGCGACGATGTCGTTGACAATGTTATGTCGCGCAGCGTCGACTTGGCTGACTTCGATGACGCGGAGGATGTTAGGTGAGTGAGAAGCCATTATGGAATTGGGATTATCGGTGCTTGCGTTTTCAGCGTTTTATGTTATACTATATTTTAACGCACACTCCACTCCACACCACCAACCTCTACAATCTGACACTGTGCACCACCTCAACCGCAACAACAACAATAGCAACGCACAGTTATGTTCAATACACATACACACACACACACACTTGTACCGAAAACACGTAATATCTGAACCAATTTTGCATCTTCATCACCCGGTGTTTGTGCATTTGCTTCAATTGCCAAGTTTAACTTTTTAGCATTAAGTTTTGACGAAGGAAACATTCTGTCTGCATTTCTGGTTTGGTTTTTGGTGCCGGTTGAAAAAATGCTTTCGTTTCTGTTGCTTTCTAGTTGGAACTTACATAGTACATACATAGATATATTAACACTCGAACACAATCCTCATGCATTCAAATCATTTCTCTTACTCTCATGCACAAACCAGGCAACTAGCGGAGTTGCTCATCATCATTGAAACGTAATTTGTTATTCGAAAGTGTGTAAGTTCTATTCACATTTACGTACATGTCTAATAACTAACTAAGGGTATATATACTATATATGTATATCCTTTACAAAAGTAAGCCCTAAGCTGTTTAAGTTTACGTAGCACTTAAGCGTTGTCTGTGTCCATAAATCGGCACAGCGGACGAGATGTGTGGCTTCGCCTTCAAGGCGTTTTACTACTTAATATCAAGTAATGGCACTGCTGTTACACTCCATATTTTTCTCTTCCTTTTTTTTCGCTGGAAATCTCTTTTCATAGTCGCTTTTTACATGCAGCCAGTTTCGGTTTCTTATTATCTTGTACGCGTATCTATAATTTTACAGCCGGAAAATGTGCTCATTTTAATTTTAAAGCAAGGCAGCACAAGGCATTTAAATATTACTTAATTTGCCTCCACACTCCTGGGTATCTGTTGCTGAGTCTGCCTAAAGGCGGCTTAGAAGGTAGCCGCGTTTTCTCTTTATAAAAGAATGGTTAAAAGTAGGAAATAAGGGAGGTAGGAGGATAAGGAGGCAGGCAGGCAGGCAGGCAGTCAGGCAGGCACACTTAAATTCCCCGAGGCACAATGCCAGCTGTTTTTACAATTGGATAACTTCATTTGAGCATTTCACAATTTCGAGTAAAGCTAGGACGAAACCAAAAGCACACGCACTCATCATTTGGTTGCCTGCGGGGCATTGAATTTCTGATTTTCTACAATGCAGTAAAGCGGAAAATCGTGATTTAGGCCGAACACATTTTTATGCACGTTCGGTGCAAAGATTAAAGCGTTAAATGCCTGCATTCTAGAATATCTTTAAAACTAATAAAACATTTGTTAACAGGAAGTTGCAGGCGCCTAATAATGCTTACGGCGAATTCTATTATGAATTTGTTTCTCATGCGAAGTAGCGTCTTTCCTCCTTTACATTTTGCAGTTCTTAATCCATTTTTTTCCGTCGACTTTTGTGCATTTCATGTGCGCGTTTCCCGACAAATGTGTTTTTAAACAGCGCCAACTTTGTTACCTAACGACTGCTGGCTGGCAATTATAATTAGCGCTTTTTGTGCGGCCTCACGTTCTGTCGCCACACTTGGTTGAATGGCACTCGAAGTTGCATGCAACACGTAGGAACCGCAGCACGAGCCACATCATGTACATACTCTTATGTGTTTTCATATTCGAGTACATACCTACGAGTACATACTATATAGAGCATATAGAATTTTACCGCTAGCGTCGAGCTGTTGCTTTGTTATGTCAAAAAACAGGCAACGTGTGTTCGCTCCACAAACAAACAGCACGCCCCGATGTCAACCTGTCATCTGGGTACACTAAGAAAAAAGTGTTGGAAACAATTTCTTCTTATCTTGCTGCACCTGTAAATCAGACTGTCCCAGCACTAAAAATCTAAATAGTTGTCTTTGCTCTTTTCTTTATAATTGTACGAATATATGGACATAACATATGTCAATAGAGCTATGTTCGCGCTAGTAGATCGGGCTACTAAACTACTAAGCTTTTATAGGAACCAGAGTAGAATGTTAAAGTACCGCCACCAGATACTTCAGATTATGGTGAAGCACTATAAAAACCTCTTGAATACCAAACACCTGCTGCGATAACGTATAAAAAAAGGTTACTCTAGTAGGAGCGATTTTTGCCCCGATCTGTCCGACGGCAGCTATATAAAATAATGAACGTAGTTTGTAACAAAACTGGTATACAATTGTGTCTACTGATTCTACAAAATAGATGATCGTTTTCAGGCAATAATGAAGTATTTGAATGCCTCCATTCAGTACTGTAATTGTTAGACTTTGGAGCCCACAACTTATTTTACAAAAACTTCCATATATAACTATTTCAATATACTTGTATGTATATAATTTTCCAGTGCATCTAGCCGTTCGGATTAGTGTCGTGTTTTCACATAAGAAAGGGGCAGAGCTATAGTTACCCAGACAGTATCCTGCTCGTGTCGTGCTCTAGTTGTTGACTTTAACAACATTATTAATGAGCAACAACAAAGTAATTTAATACAATTTTGACCCCAAGTTGTAGAAAAAAGAAAGTCCTAAACAAAAAACAAGTCAAAGGCCACCAATGACAACGTCTGCTGATGGCACAAGGATGTCTGAAACAGATATCACACAAGGCTGTAGCAACAACAGGCAGTAGACACCTAATTTAACCAACAGCCAGTTGGACTGCCAGTTTGTGTGGTGGCTGTGTGTCCCATACACGCATTAAACGTATTAGGAATATGAAAATACTATACTATGAGAAGCAACAATTTAATTTAATTTAATTTATTCCCCAAAGGCTGAGTACGTTTTGGTCGCTTCCAAAGTCGAAAAATTTTTTTGCAACGTCAAACGAATGGATTCATTTCTACAAAACAGTTTGTCGAGAAACCATATGTATCGAATTTTAGCGAATAATACTAACTAACAATAGTAACATTCATAAGTTAATGAGCTATGGATTGAAGAAGAGCGACAACACAACTCACAGAACAAGTAGTGTGAATAATATTCGAATAACAAATTCATTTAGAGAAAAAGAAAAATCAATTGTATGGGAGTTACTGATTTTCTATTCATACAAGTACAAGTAGCTCGATGTTCCCTTCAAGTTTACAAGGATTTGCTCTATAAATGTTTTTATGAAGTACTCAAAACTTCATCCCAATATTTACGCATTACTTCATGTCAACACTGAATGCCCAGTCGGTTTCAAAATATTGCGATGCGAAGCCACAGCCTGAAAATCTTGAACAACATAAATTCGCACAGCTGCGAACTTGAACCTAAAAACTTTACAGCTTTACATAAATTTAAATGTGTGTTATTATGTTACGTTTGGGCAACCTTGGAATTTTAAAAATGACGACAACGAAAAAGCGAAAAAGAAAAAATGCTAATAGCCTTGTAATAAATTTCTACAAGGAATTCCTACCTACTTGTAACATCCAGTTTTTTGCGCATCATCAATTCGTTCGGAGCGCTCCATCGCTCCATGGGAGACAAAAGGCATCCGCAAATTGTATAGTTAGTTATTATATACGCGCTAACTTCTGAAAACTATTTTTATTTATATTTAAATTAGACTCGTCTAAATCTATAAAACTATTGATACAAAGGCATGCACAAACTTTTGCCAGATCCGTGTCTACGAATAATTTTGACGTCAAATTGGCGTCGTCGTCGTCGTCAGCAGCGGCGACGGCTTCCGTGGCGATGGCGATGATGATGCCGATGCCGATGCCGATGGCGGCAAAACGCAATCGAATTCTTAGCCATGCATTAATCGGCTAATTTATAGTTTGGTTATTTATGAACTACATATTTCAAGTTGTATCGCCGATCACGGTGGGACGTAAACAGAAAACTAACATACAATTGAGTTTTTATCGAATGTCACCTTAGGCACTACTATTTGTAAATCCTGATCTTTATTTAAGATCTATGGACAATTATTAAATACGGAAAAGGTAAAGATTTGTTCAAATGGCACTTACTAAAGGCTTCGCTCAACTGATGCATCAGGAACTCCGCTGCTCCTGACCTGCCATTTTTACCACATTTCTGATCAGTTCTTTCTATCGATTCACATCCTACCTTACGCATTATTTAAATTTTAATTGGATATATAGGAAACGGCTTACTTTTACTTGATCACACGAAGCTGCTGAATGCTTACAATAAAACGATTTAAACAAAGTGTTACCAGAACGGTTATAGGAAGTGTTCCCTTCTCTACATGTCCTATAGCAGAAAGAATAGAATGGTAGTCACAACCAAATGGTTATCTCTGTAGCCACCATTGAAAGTTCTGATTTGGAACTTATAGGTATATTTTCTGTCCCACTGTGCGCTGCCTTGAAAGGCGACGCTGGCGCTCGGATGACGGTGACTCCCTCGCTCTCGCTTTCAATTGGTTGGCGCAGCGGTTGACCTTGAAGGCGTTGCGCGCAGCGTAACAATTGGTTCGGTCAGCTGAGAGGCAGCATCGACCGCAGCTTTAGTTTTCGCTTATTTTTATTATTTTTTTTACATTTCGGTTTTGTTTTTCTACTACGTTCATATCTTCTTGTGTTGTTTTTTATGCAGATGAAAATATTTATGTTTTGTTGATTGCGCATAAATTAATTTATATTTTATGGCGTTGGCGCTACGTCCACAAATGGACCGCGTGTCGCCGTCGTATGCAAATTTCCACTCACACACAATGACATTTACTGCCGTTGTGTGTGTGTGTGTGTAAGTATGTATGTATATGTTGCCTTTTGATATAAAAGCATAATTTGACCTTAAGCCAAAAATGAGGGCGTTAATGATGCTTTTTGTTTTTTACCAGACATTTTTTGTTATCCAGTTTCATTTTGTATGTGTGTTTTTTTTTACTATATTTCTTCTCATTTTTTCGGTCGTATGAGTTTTTTGTTGTCTATCATCCGAGATTGTTTTGTTTTGTTGTTTGTTGCTTTTGCCGTATAAATATTAATTAAGTTGGGAAAGCCCCAGCAGCATTTGGTGTCTAGAGAAGAGGAGAGACAGTACCCGGCACCGAGCCAAGAGAACAATGAAATGCGCAGAATTTTTCTTTCAAATTAGCCGCTCGCCGATATACTTTACATATATTTATATTATTTTTCTGTTGCGGTATTTCTTCTCGTTCCTTCACTACCTGTACCTGTGCACCATTTAATTGTACATCAAAAAACTTTCTGTTTCTGCTTCTCACCCACTTTTTGCAGGAATCCACTTGAAGAAATTGAAGCAGTATTTAGAAGCTATAACTAAATTAAGTTAAGCAACACACACAAACACACACAGACACACAATCACAAACGCAACCACTTGCAGTAAATAGGAATGTGACACCTTGTATGCTGCCTAAGTTACTAACTAGTTTATTTATACATATACTTGTATTGATACTATACTATATACACACATACACACTACTTTTAAAGGCCTTAACAACAAAAGTGACGTGGACTATAATGTCGTGCTAAGTTACTGAAGCAACAAAAACTACATCAAATTTATATAACTTTTACTAATACCCACTAATCTAAACATAGCTATACTACTAGTATAATGTCCTTATACATGATTTTATCCTATTTATTTATCCCTGCTCCATTGTCTTCAATTTATTTTTTATACAACAACAACATTAGCGCAACCTTGTCTGAGCTGCCTACAGCGGCGACATTCGAAATTTTTGCATACACCTACACACTCACCCATATGCAGCGTTTCTAGAATGCACCACCAGCACCGACACCCCCAGCCACACAATTCACACAAAAGTCACAAAAGTGCGACTTGTGCGCCTTGTTGGTTGCATATTTTATAGGCATTTTGCATTTTTGAAATGTTTGTTATTAAAAATAATGATTTCTAGAGTAAGACAACAGCACTCATTAACTTTTCATTTTTAAGTTGCGTGGTGTGTTAATTGTCGCTTAAAGTGTGACTTTTCACTTAAGTTTTAATAAGCTGCCCAATCATTCAAATCAGTTCAGTTAGATCTGAATAGACCGTATTTAGAAGGTGATTTATACTATTCTGTTAATGCATAATAAGGACTTTGCATTGGAAATATATTCACATCATTACTCAGTGATTTTCCAATCGCCATTCGTTCTCAACATTTCACTTCTAGGACAGATTACAAACTATAGTGATATCGTTGTTCACAGATATACCAAAGCGTGTAACTCACTTTACTTTTCCAATGTTATCAGAGAAAGTAAAAATAAATATAATAAATACCATTGCAAATATTAATCATTTGCGAATGATGAAAGATTGTAAAAATGAGAAATATCTATTGCATTTTACATATTTTTAAAGACAACTGTTTTCAGTTATTCATAAATTAATTAATTAATTCTAGTAGTTGTTTTTTGCCAAAGCCCAGAAAACGAGTTACGCATTTTCCATATCTGAGCAACAAAAAAGTTATATATACAAGTAAATGTATGAATCGGTAAGAATGGGTATTGCTTCTTATCTCTATTAACACAAGCAGCTGATATACTATACTATTTATATAGTAGCATAACTTAAAGAAATCCTACAACAAATATAAGTATGACAAACCATTCAATGTATTCCTTAAAATGCCTGCAAGCTAAGTTTATCTGATATGTCAAACAACATTGTTTATTGTTGTCAGCGTTAAACTTTTTATATATTTTATAAATATTTATATGTAAATGTGTAAAAATAATCAATTTTGTATGTACTATTTATATAACGTTTACGGTTATGGCTCATACATATACACAACATCATTCTCCACACACACACACACACACACACACCCGTACACAAATAAAAGCATCCAACCACCACACATCCAAACAGTAGCAACACAATTGGAAAATGGAAATGGAAATATGTGCCACAATATTTATGTGTGACGAAAGCTTTTTTGTTATTGCATAAAAAAGGACAAGTACAAGTACTATATTGAAACTGAAAATAAATAAAACGCAAAACTACATTAATTTCCATTTATTTGAATTGTTTGTTTATACTAACCTTAAGCGTTTTTTGGTTTTGGTTTTGAATTCGTGTTGCTGACATTTATGGTTGTTAGGCTTTTCATGCTAGTGACGACAGAGAGATTGCCGCGGGCAGCAATTAGCTTCAAAAAGCTAGATAAATATTTGCGCTAAGCTGAACTTTCAAATAAATAAAAGTTCAATGGCAATAATTGCAAAGTAGCTATAAGAAACGGGGCACCCATTGCATAAATCTGTCAGTTGCAAAAGTTCAACGCGTTTAAATACTTTACCACCACTTCTAGGTGAGCAAAAAGTTCATTTAAAAGTCCAAAGGATGAATGAATGAATAAAAAAGAGCGCAGAGCGGTGATGCAGAAAAAATTTCAAATGCAAGGCCAAGCTAGGCTGGTGCTAGGCCAAGTGTAGTCCATTTAGTTTCCGCAGTACTTCTGCACACAGAAAAAGGATTGCATTTCGGCGAATTTCCCTCGCAGTTAGGCAGAAAAGTACCAACGCCAAGTAAAGTGGAATTTTTACAGACTCTTATCTTCTGTAGAACCGATGAAGTGTGGAAAACCCACTTATCATCCATCTATCTTTTTGCAAAGCATTGTTCATTTTCTAAGAAGGGCCAGCGATGGGAATGCAGGAATTAATACTGAACTTAAAGCTAAACGCTACAGTTACCGCAAAGGTAAACAAGCGCTCATTTAAAGCATGCCATTTGAAAAATGGTGCTCCTTCCTTTCCAAAAAGTATTCAGCAAATTATTAGTTAGTTTTTACTGAGCTTAATTTCAATTATTTCAAATCAAATCCCAATTATCAGGGATTTTTTTAAAATCATTAGTTATAGCTTGGGCCTGCAAATATTTTGTGAGTGTATGCTCTGAACGTCCTTCCAAAGCAAAATGCATTCAATTCATGACTGTTCTCGAGCGATTGAAAAATCTTTGGACCAACAAGCCGAAACGAAGGCGCAACTTTTACTTTTCCCTGCTAGATGCCGACGGCGTGTAAATTGAAAAACATAAATCAGTCAAGTAGAAGTTTGTGCCGTTGGCTTAAACACGGGCATTGAGCCCGGATAGACGTTGCTCGTCGTGGACCGCATGCGAGTAATTTCGAATTAAGCTTGAATTGAAAGTGTGTAGCAATTTGTCTGCAACAAAGGCAGTTGAGTGGAAGACTAGCTGCAGCCTTCATGGCCTCCACACACACACACACACACACTCACACGCACGCACTCTCTAAATTCCCCACACACAAAGTTCTCTACAGGCAGACGAAGAAGAAGATTGAGAAAAAATTAAAAAGAATATGCGGTGAGCTGACAATGCAAATGTGTGTAAACGTTGTTGCCAAATAGTTTGGCGCATTCACTTTTCAAATTAATTTTGCATTTTATAAAGTGCGAGGGGGGAACGAAGAACAAGAAAGGGAGGGAGGGAGGAGCTCCATTGTGGCGAAGAAGCAAGTGAGTTGCAAGTTTTTGCGGCACTCCGTTCGTCTGAGTATCTGTCCATTTGTCTAGCCTGCAGTCCTGGCTGGCTCCTAGATGGGTCCTGAGCTCGTGTGCCTGTTCGCTAATCTCCAGCTGCCATGTTATTGCACTTGTTGGCAAAGTTTTTCAAAAAGTGATTTTGTGGCAGGCGTGCTGCTGCAGAAGCTGCAAACAATGAGGTGGCACAGACATGCCGAGTTGTGTTTCTTGTTACTTCTTAATTACAACAAATTCGACTTGTTATGCCAAAACTTTTGCATGCCGCACGAGGCGTCGCGACGTTCGCCCATAGACTGAAGCGGCAGCGGACTACGCCCCTCTCATTAACTGCACCTACCACATGTGACTAAGAAGCATATTTAAAACCACCGTTTGTTGTTAGTGTAACCGTTCATCATCCTCATCCTCATCATGTGCTAACCACATTTTACACAAAATGGCAAAAATTAATGTTTTCTATCGTATAAATGTATGTGTTCTACTTTGTTCAACAACGCACAATTGAAACTGACACGCCAACAACAAATCACAATAAATGAAATATAAAAACGAGCAGCAGTGCAGGACAAAGCAAAAGAGAGCAGCCCACTGTACCTAAGACGCCAACACATGCCACCACCAAGATACCCAAGCAACAGAAGAAGCAGCAGCAGGAGCAACTAATAGCCACGCCCGCACCATCAGCTCCAATGGAAGCTCCTAAGCCCTCGCTGCTGCCCAAGCCAAAGGTCAAAGTTATTATTCCGCCCGCACTGCAGCAGCGACTCAACAAGCAGCCACAGCAGCTGGAGATAGGCGCGGTGGCAGAGCCAGCGGAGGTCCCGGCACACGCAACGATTCCAGAGCAGCAACAGGAACAGGAGGAGCAGCTGGAACTGGAGTTGGAACCTGGCACGCCCACCAGCCCCCTCAGTCGCATACCCGTGCGCACTCTAAAGGCTGAGCGACGCGCCCTTGCGGCAGCCGCACGTCAGGCAGGCCTGAGCTTCAATGAATACGTGCGTCAGTTGGAGAATAAATCGATAGAGGAGCAGGGGCGCGGGGCAACGTCGCCAACTACGTCAACTACGCCCACGGGCAAGAGTCGCGCCACCATTAAGTAAGTTTCTACGCGTGGCGCCCCAAAGAGTTAACATGCGTGTAAACCAAAGGTCACACGTCACCACAATTTGCAGCCCCGAATGGCAGCAAATCGAACGTTAGGCAACGTCAGCTTGAAATAAATAGATAGACGACCTGTAATTTTGTTAGTCATTTGAAGATTAGGTTCTTGACCACACACATACTAGTGCACCTACACACAAACACTTTAGCACACACCCACACACACACACACTTATAGTACGCACACCTTTGAAAGTGTGTGTGTGATGGTCAGCAAACTATAAATGTACCTCTACCTATGTACAATACTATGTATTTATCGTACCTACCTATCGTATTAGTTTGCAATTTGTACACCAGATATACTTAATCTTTTGTTTACTTAATTGCGGTGTCTGGTTAGCCATTTTCTGTCTCTCAATACAGTTTTTATGTACATATACTATAAAGGACTGTGCAATCTGAATACTTGTACGTTTGTATGAAGCCGAAAATCATGGGTTTGACTTTCTTTTAAAAAACAAAAAATACAAACTCCACTGTATTATAATGAATTGTTTTATTCATTCTGTAAGCAACTTGAGCCAAATATAAGTTCTTTAATTACTCTTAAGATAGGCAAAACTAATTGCGAAGTTCTTTTCCAAAAAAGAAGCGTAACGTAACTGAATCTAAAAAACAATCACCGCGAAGTTTTGTAATCTCATTTTTGTTTCATTACTATTTTCAAATGTATATGCGATTTTGTATGCTTCGTAGATTGGAGTTTCTATATGAGATACATCCACATTACTTTTTTGCCGCCTGTTATAGAAGACGAAGTCAAACAACAGCTGCAATTTTGATCCGTTTCAAAAGTCTCTACACTTAATACATTTCGAAACGCGCTCAGATTCTTTTATAAGTTTTGTACAGTTACACTGAATTTATTTTTTAGCTCATTTTGAATTCGCAATAAATCCCGCTTTTTTATAGAAAATAAAAATAAGAAACCTCTTTATTTTGGGCTTCGTATAAATGTACACATTTCCCAGCTATTCTGTTAATTTATTTACTCTTGCTTTAGCGCTCGTCAATCTTTCTGACCCCAAAATGTGGCTGCAAACGTAACTTGCCATCAACTGCCGCCACATTTATGGTCAGGGTCGCAATTCGTTGACAATTTATATTAACGTCATATCACTTTTATGTCATACAGTGCTGAGAAGCGCGCTTCGTGGAGGGCTGCACGTCTACGTTCCCTGGAGCAGGGGGCGGTTGAGGCCCAGGATGCCATCAAAAACATGCGCAAGATGACCGACGATTTGATCGCGCACGAGTCGAGGCCACGTGAGGTAAGCCAAGCAAAAAAGTCTATCCAATCTCCAGAGTAAAGAAACTTATGTGTGAACCCCGAACATCCGAACATAGAAAATACCCAAAGCAAAATAAAACCGCCCAATGCCATTAACTTGCGTGTTATACTCTGCCTTAGAAGGTTGCCTGTCCATAAATACATAACCAAACAGTAAAACCAGGCACCCCACTGTGCTTACATGGTTCGCTTTACTAACCTCAAAACAAGTACTAAAAACAACAAAACATGAATGGCTCATACTTATGTGTTACTAATAGATGCGACAGAACGACAACGGAGAAAAGGCACACAGAATGTGAAATTAAATAGGATATAAAAATGATCTGTTTTTCATAAAGAGGATTAAACTCATCGAGTGTAGAGTTGAAGATGTAAGCCCTTTTAAAAGACGTCTTGGTCTGTCTGCCTGAAAATCGAATGAAAAAACTTAGACAAACATATTAGAAATTGAAATTCCTTTTACTGCTTCATTATAGTGCCTATCTATATAACTGAGTAAAACAATGTATCTAAAAGGTTATGTACAAGGAAATAGGAGCATTTGTTCTAAAAAAAAACTATTACGAAGAAGAAGAGAAAACTCTGAAGCATTACAAAAACCGGCGTTATTTAATTTCAATCTGTATACAATTTAATTGCTTCACGTGTTCTCTTTAGTAGAAACATTTAAAAAAATTGGTGTTTCCTTTATTTGTATTGCAAAATTGTTCAATTCTGTAAACCTGATTTCTTATCTCTCTCTTTCTCTACATGTCTATTATCCAGCAGAAAATAGTATTTCCAAAAATTGCCATAAAATCAAGCGATGGCCCGGTCATCGTGCGTGAGCGCGAGAAAATACTCGATGAAAAAATAGTGCGCCGCACTGAAGAGGTGCCGTGCCCCATAACGGGGCGGCCTCAATTGCGCACCGTCGAGTACATTGAGAAAATCATCGAAACGGAGGTTAGCTAACGACCCATCAATCAATCAAGCAAACAATTTTTTATTGCAATCAATTTGTACATTACTCGTATCTTATCAATTGGCACCAACTTTTGATTCTGTTAGCAATGCAAAATCGTTTTAGTTACATAAATATCGTACTTTTGGTTGTGAAGTCTTGGAACTCGCTCAAAGAAATTTGAAATATGAAATAATGATTATTTTTATCAGACAATAGTTTTGAAGGTAGATACTGGAGTTGTTCAATCACATTATGTCTGTTGACTCACCTACTAACTTCTTGTGAATCATTCTCTGTCGATGTTGTGAGACTGATCATTTATATTCAAAAACTACGAGTGAATACCTAATTTAGAATGCATAATTGGCCGATCGACTGTCGGAAGAGCAAAGCACTTTCTAATGATATCAGCCACCTGAAAAAATATTGGCACCTACTTCAATTTTCTGAAGTTGTGGTAAGCAGGGAGGTGGCCTCAGTTAAAAAGAGAGGCAACGTTTGTGTGGAATCTACAACTATTTAAGGAATCAACTTCAAATTATAGTTTTCTATTCAGGATATTCGAGATGAAAGGCAGATTTATATTCTAGTTAGTTCAAATAAACAAAAGATAGAAAAAAAAACGACTTAAAAAGTGATTAGTTCTTCATATTTTCTTTGAGCTTGAGCCAAGATGTCTTTGAAGTTTGTTTTTTTTTAAGGGCATTTATCCTTCTGTCTTTAGTCGTGCCGTGATGTGTCCTATTATTGCATTAGCTCCACTATTGATTGCACCCTTGTCTTACGCACATAATTCAGCTCGCACCGTACTAAAGCACCAAAATCAACATTTTGCGCTCTCATTGTATATAGTCAACAATTTATATAGAAGTATAAAGCATCATTACATAAGGAGTCATAAATTCTTTTGCAAAAGTTTTGAAAAGTTGAAGGCTAGGCATTCTGTGACCTCCTTAATTAATTTATGCACTTCAAATAACTTTTACGAGCATGTTGCAGTGCGTAAGAGGCGGAATTCGAGCAACTTGCTAGCCAAAAAACACACCCACATACACAAAAAAGAAACAAACAACAACTGACTTGATGTCCTATGAAAATATCCTGACATTATGTAAGCGTCCGCAACAAGGAGGGGAAACAAATTTTTAATATCTACCCAACTCAGTTGACATTTTTAGCGCTGCTTCCTTGCTATCCATTGTAGAAGCAGCACCCCCAAACCCCTAAACCCCCAAAAACCAACAACAGCAACTGGAGTTCCCCGCATTAAAAGGACAATAAGCTACTTTATGTAGAAAGTGCGCTTGAAAGGTTTTGTCTTGCAGGAGAGTTAAAAAATGTATATACAATATTTCTTGCTTTTTAAGTTTTGCGCGACGCCTTTTAAGCCTCTCTCACATACACATACACACACACACCCACACATCCGCCTCACAATAGCAATATCCAGCCAAGAAAAGAGTTTCTCTGTGTGTGGGTGTGTGTGTGTGTGTGTGTGTTTATTGGGTAGCCAGCCCTGCCATTTTGTTATTGTTTTCGCGTGTCCATAAAGCGACGACGAGCACAGCTGGCGGTGCTTTAACGCTCTTGGGCCCGATTCTTGATTCATTCATTCATTCGTTTTAGTATGCAAACTCATTATAATGACCCGCGATTGCCGTTATTTGGTTTTTGTTGCTTGTTCTGAGCCAAAGTCCATTAAAATTAAAGCAAAAAGTTTTTTGCATTTTAGGTGCCGTTTTAATGATTTCGCCCCGATATTAAAAAAAAAAAAGCGGCTCACACAACATTTTATGTTTGTTATTTTGATGCTGCAAGCTTTAAAAAAATAGAAACACGCCAAAACGAGCAACTGCGGGTGGTTTAATTGGACTGCCTACGCTTCGCTTTTCAATTTGTAGACGGAAGCTGCGAGGCCACAAAGCCCCATAAACAAGCCGACGCATAATGTCAGCGGCGGCACACACGACCACAAATCGCGTGAGTAGACACACTGAGAGTAAAGAGCTATATACGAATAGAATAATGGCACAAAAGTTGTGTTGCCTGCCCGCCAGTCAGCCTGCCGGGTCGTCATTTGGTTAGCTAGCCATTTTTTGTAGTTCCCCCCTTGACTGGAGCGTAAAAGTTTGCGGGCACAGGGCACCACAGCTCTTGAGTTTACGCCTCGACAGGATCAGCAACAGCTCGCGCAGAATGTCAAAGACAAGCTCCAACTAAGGCTAAGGCAGTCGGCGGCTTATCATCGCAACAAAACTCGTTTACTTGTCATGCCTCAGAGCTCCGCAGCCGGAGTCGATTTGTTGTTTGTAATAGTTGGACGTGGGTGTGGTTTTGTGGATATCCTGTCAACTTACACTGCACATTCAATTTGTCTTCAGTGGCATTGACTTCGTTGTGTGCTATTTCTTTATCTGCTCTAGGCTTATCATAATTGGAACTTAGGCTGTTGTAGTTGCACTTCATTTTCTCAAAGAATATTGCATAAAAACATATTTTAAGAATATTACTCAACCGCCAACTTAAGAACAGACTGAAAGTGTTCGACAAGCATTTCGGAAGGAAATAAACCTTAGTCCAAGGCAAACTACTATTAGCTTAATACTAATCATTTTATTTCACTAACAAATGGTTATCTACTACATAAAGTACAATGATATAATTTTATTTAAAACCGCAATGTCTAGTTAGAAATGTTTGAGTGTGTTTTGTCTGGCTGCAGAAATGTACAATTTGTTTATTTTGGATGAAGCTATCAGACTGAAACTATAAAAGAGTAAGACACCATCCAACGTTTCGAGCATTTACTTAAGTCCAGCACAACAGTCTTGAAGCTTGTTTCTGTTGAAGCATTTTGGTTAGCAATGCATTCGCTCGCAAATATGCAAGATAGTTCCTCATAGCTCTCATTAGCAGCTTAATTTATGAATTTTGTCAACGCCTCCATCTCTCTGCACCCCCCTCTCTGTATACTTGTACGTTTGCCTAACACACACACACAATTGTCACTCTCCGATGTCTGATGTGTTAAGCGGTACTTTAGCATAATATCCAACTTAACACGCACTCTTACGTATGCAAATGCACAAACCGCTACTCTCTCTCTCTACCTCTTTCTCCAACATTTAGTCCCCCTTTCCCCAGCTCTTGCACCATACATATTTGCATAGATGGATGCGAATAGTTTGCTTTAAGCAAAGCAGTTAGCTCTTAAGTCCTTTAGCTTATCAACCACTGGATTTCTCGGAAGCTTCTCATTTCTCGCACAATGCTGTATAAATTAGTTGTAAGCTGGCACATTTCATACTTATCGAGCAGCGCTGGTTTATGAACGCTTCACGCTTACACTTCATTTGGCAAGCTCTTGGCTGTGTTCTTTGGTATATGGTCTTTTCTTTTCCTCTATTGCTGTTGGTGTTACTTTCCTTTATTATTTGTAAAATGGACGTAGTATTTGAGAGAAACAAAGAATCGCATTTCCATATATGTACTCCAAACTTAATTCAGGTGGAGACCTGCAAGGAGCGCATCATTTCGTTAGAGCTGCAGGAGCCCGAGGCGACGCTTGAGGATGAGCAGCCACCACTTGAACTGCAGGGCAGCGATGACGACGAGGACTCTGACGATGATGATGATGATGAGGAAGAAGAGGAGGAGGAGGAGGACACCGCCTCCATTGTCACTGTGCAGGCGAACAGCGAGAAGTTGTTTTTGCGTCACGATGCCGATATGTACGGTCCCTCATCCATTGAGAGCGCTTCGTCGGGCAAGGTACGCATTAAGGCCGTGCCATTAGCACTGCACCAGACGCTGGCCAAGGAGGTGGTGGCACCGTCCACCACATTCGTCCAACAAACCACAATTGTGGAGGTTGTAAATCCTGTCATTGGCGGCGATGGCAGCGCGCGAACCATTCAAGTGGGTCGCACAACGGACTCCTTCTATCCCTCTTTCGACGACGATGAAGATAGGGAAGAAGCGCGGCAGTGTGAAGAAGAGGAGGAGGAGGAGGAGGAGGGCGCGTTAGGGGTGGTACGCAGTGAAACTTTTGTGCTGCCTGGATCCAGCGGCCAGACGGAGCTGTCATTAAATGCAAAAATGAAGAATGTACTCGAGGAGTTGCTGGAGAACGAGCGCGTCAAATTGAATTTGCAAAAGAGTCTCGAGGAGCACAGCGACGATGAGGAGGGCGGCAGCGCCTATGGCGATGCACGGGACGACGAAGAGAGCGCTTACGATGATGCGCGCGATGACGTGGATGATGTTGTTGACTTTGGGGTCGCCACAGTCACAACTGTTGTCCATAGAACTAATGACAACGACAAAAATGGCAATCAAAAGCTGCTCGACGAGCTGATAAAGGACAGCAACCGCAATACAATTATTGGCAAATTGGCTGGCCAATTGTTGGACGATGACGATGAAGACGATGACGACGACGACGAGGACGAGGAGGATGACGACGAGGAGAGCAGCGAGTCGGATACGGACGATGACAGCGACTCGGATGTAGAGGACAATGGCGGACCAGCGGCTGAGGCCCTGCACATTGCATACGTTCAGGGCGCAAAAGTCATCGAGAATCTCAATACGGTGAAAACTGAGGCTATCGGGGCTGCCGGCAGCAAGTTGCAAAAGTCACAGACATACAACACCATGAAGGAGGCGGCAGCGGCGGCGGCAGCCACAGAGCAGGCTGCACAGGATGAGAAGGATGAGAGTCCAGCCACCGTCGACGTGAATTCTGGGGAGGCTGAGGCACTGGCTCCAGCTACATTGGCGCAACTGCAGGCCGAACAGCGTGCATTGGCCGAGATCTCAAAACAGTTGCGTAAATCAGTGGAGGATTTGCTGGGCGCCGAAGGGGGCGGTGGGGCAGTGGTTGAGACGCGGCATACCTACACACTGCCAGCGGACAACGCCGCTGTGGTTACCGTGACCGAAGTGGTGAAGAAGACGAAGACAAAGGGCGGCAAGAAGCACAAGGAGACGGGAGAGGAGCTCTTCAATCGCCTATTGAGCGCTGGCGAGGGGGAGAAGCATGTATTCGATCAGCAAACAGGCGAGACGATAACAACAACGACAACAACCACCGAATCAGTGGCCAGCCCAGATGTTGCCGAGCCAAGCACAAGCATAGTTACAACCACACGCACCGTTTCCAACATTGTCACGAGCGGTATTCCGCGACCAGAGGCGTCCAGACAGATCAGCAGCACGAACCGCAGTGGCAACAATAACAACAACAATCGCAACAAAAACAAGCGCAAGGGCAAGAAGAAGTAGAGAGGACGACGGTATGTGTTTCTGGTTACGCATACGCCCCGTTGGCCTCATGTGGGTATACAAAAAATAGAGTCAATAATGTCGCCGCACACGGACACGCATTCACACGCACACATATCAGAGACATTGTTAAATGTGCCGTTATACATAATAAACATGCCTATGCTAAACATACACATGCACACACACACACATACATATGTATGTAACTTTAATTAATTGTGCAAATAACTTGTCGTTGCATTTACAGCTCATTTGTTACTAATCGTCAACATCATTTTTTGAATTCAAACGAAAACTGAAAAAACAAACTAAATGAATAATGCAAACAGAATCATGCTAAAAACAATAACAACAACAACAGCAACAAAAACAAACGAAAACTATTGACAGAGGCAAATTGGAAAATGAAAAAGCAGCTATCAAAAGCAGAAACAAAAAACGACAAACAAAAATCTTATTTAATTGAATTAAATAATTTCATTTTGTTTGCTTTTAACATTCATTTAATAATTATTATTTATAAATTTTATTTTGGATTCGACTTTTTTTGTAAACTGCAACATTAATTTCATTTAATTTTAGCACAAAAAATAAATGCGCCAACGAGTTGACTTTGAAAGTAGATTTGATGATCTTTGACAAAAACTCAGAGCATTCCGCAGCCCCTCCCCAATGCGATGGGTTCGACTATAATATAAGTGAACACTCACACAAACACACACACACACAGAGACACACACAAATAAACAAAAAGACGGGTATTTCAACCACCACAATTCGTTGGTCTATTTTTCTCCATAAGCGCGCCCAGTTGTAATTTTGTTTTAGTCCCCGTAGCGTACTTGCAGAGAAGTGTAAAATTTAAATATATTATTATACCTGCGTTTTCGTGGTAGTTAACAATTGAAGTTTCTACTCGTACGAATAAACATACACACATACATACATATACTATACAGATATAAATGAAGTTATATTGTGCGCATCGTTAAATTTTTAATGTAAAAACGAGCAAAACTGTAACACATACAGACATACGATATTTAGCATGTAACTGCAACAACAAACAAACAACTTTTTATAAAAATAGCAGCATTTTTTGCATGTAATAAAAAATATTGTATGCATTTTTAATTTGTGAGAAAATCTGTTTTATTTTGGTTTTATGGTGGGCCAACGGCCAGCCCTGCGGTCGTGCTATTATTTCAAATTGTCCCGTACTACACGGGTCAAGAGAATAGCTCTGTCTGTTTGCGCTGTTGTGTGGTAAGTAAATACTTTTCCATACGTACGAGTACAATGTACATATTTCCTGGAAAAGTGGCAGGCGCACATCAAGAAGTGAGCCCCGGTATTGTGTCCTGCCAACGAAACCTTTTATGTAAGTATTAAAAGCTGCTTTTCGCGGAATTTGCCAAAAATTAATCGAAAACGAAACAACCAGCAATCATTGGACTCAATTGGTTGTTTCCTCCTGATGAACACTTTCCATCAGCCATTTGGTATGGAAAATAAAAAATAATTGGTTTTCAATATGAAACGATTTCTCACAATGACGACGCATCAGTAAGAATTCATTCAAAGATAAACTGCTGAATGGCTTAAATACTGTTTGTAATTCCGCAGTCAAAGGTGCGAATGAAATTAACTTAAATCCGCTTTATCTTGCAAGTACGTCGCAATTAAGTAGCAATATTTTAAAGAGTCTTAATGTGAGGTAAGCATCTTAACAAAGTAAGAATCCTCTGACTACACAATATCTCTGCTACTCACCGATTTTAGAATAACGATTTCGTGTCGAAAGAATAAATTATATTTAAATATAAGTATTACTATAATTTTGGCAGTCAGATGTTTAACTATATTATTAATTTTCCCAATGCTTTAAAAATAAAAATTCGTTTATCACGCAAAGAAGTTTTTTTTAAAGAAATTGCGAAACGTGTCTTTGTGTTTTTTTCCCAAAGAAGCCAAGAAAATACCGAATTTGAACCTTACAGCACGAGGCGGGAAAAATGTCTGCCAAAATATGTGTCCTAAGCTTGTGTACTAACAAAATGTAAGACCAGTTCAATGCCGAAACGGAATCGCTACATTGTAGAAATAATGATCCATTATAAAATTTTGAATTTCACATGGCAGCCAAACTATTTTTTTAAATTTCAGCTGGACCTCTCATAAAGATATATTTTATTCATGTACGAAAAATGTTAAAAGTTCGGGTGTACGAATGTGGCATGCACGTTTATTTATAAATGAAATGTAATCTTAACAAACAGAGCTCAATAACAAAGTTCTATATATGCGTCTATGGAAATCATTTATAATAAGTATGCAATGCACAACATTTTGCAGAAATTAAAGGCAACAATAAACGAAATGTGTTTGTCAGCAGCTCCGTTCAGACACATGAAACATTCATGACGAGCTCTATGTATGTATATATTTGCGAATATATGTACTTGTATGTGTATGTAAGTAGCCAACGCAGTGGCAGCAAACAAGGAACACCCACAACGGAAGACGCTGCCATTTTGGAGCATAGCACAGAATGTTTTCCGACAGCCAAGCAAAAGGTATTCAAAACATGCGACGTAAGTATATACGGCATTCGCAGATAGGCGGGGAGCGGGCTGGCGGCGATGTGGGCAGACAAGTGCGTTGACTGCTCAGCTAATGTGAAAATCGTTAGAACTTGTGCTGTTGTGTGCCAGTTAGTATGTACGTTGTACATGCATCCGAGTATACATACTCGTATAGTACATATGCGAAACATATCAAGTCAATCAACATAAGTTTTTAGCGGAAACGTATGCAGAGCACACACTAATGTACATATAAACAAGCGTACCTGTGGGGCTCACAGTGCGTATGAGCAATGACATAATTCGATTTAAACTGCGTCAGTGTGTGGAGGATACGTAACGTATGAGAAATGCAGAAAACATAGCGCTTACTGTACAGCTCTTCAATATTTAATGCCAGCCATTGAATTACTCGCATATAGTATACGTGCTACACGAAATTATACATACTAACCATCAGTGCGATCGTCAAAATGTAGGCATCAGTGAAGATACTTTGTTAGAATTAGTTGACTTGAAGAAGAATATTTAAACATGAATAATTAATAAGACTTAGTTGAAAATTGTGTTATACGATTACCTTAAGCTAGTTGTTATTGCCAGCCATGTTTCCATAATATGCTTGCCAACGTTTATCACCACCAAACATATAGTCTCGCAGCTCATCAGGAACATGTTTAGCTAGAATATATCTCTTCTAAAATGCATCATACTCTTTTTGGAAAACCAAGCGTTAGGGTAGTTATATTTTTGAAGGGCATATACTCACCCAAAAAAGGATATAACTGGATGTGATGTGGATTTCGGAATTGTATGAGCGATCACATTTGGTATGATTTTATTGTCTTGACTTACTCAATCCCCTACCGACTACAAGTATCCCATTCTAAGGAACTCCAGTAATACCACAACACCAACATGCCATCTATGTACATGTATGTATATATATAAATGGAATTATTTATAGACTCGGAAACCGCTCAACCGATTTTGTGGCAATATTCAAAATAGTCCCGTTTCCCGGTGGGTGCACCTGTGAAGTTTTGTGGCGATTGTTCAAAGCGAGCAACAATGTTTCGTTTCTCAGTATTTCATTGTGAAATCGAATTCAATAAAATGCCACCAAAAAAAGCATCTATTAGTAAAAAAAAAAACACACAATCAACAAAGATGAGCGAGAAAAAAGCAACTGAAAATGCCGATGAACCGAATCACGTTTGTATGATCTTCGCGAAAGGGTATCTACGTTTAGAGCAAAAGAAACAGAACAGCAACGGGAGGAATGTGTGAAAAGGCATCCACATCCATAGCCATGAAAATAAAAAGGAACAGTAACGGGAGTTGTGGCTTTGGCAAATGCGCGAAATGGCATCCACACCTAGAGCCATAGAAACATTTAAAAGTTGTCTTTCCTGTACGCTTCTCATACAAAGCACTAAAAGCATATTTAATATTTATAGACACTTATTTCTCGGTTAAATTTAAAGAACCTAATCGAAGCCATAAAAAGCAAAGGTGTTGCGAAAGATGTTATGTCTGAAAGCTTAAAAAGCAATACGATTCAGTATTAACTAGCTGGTTTAACTAAACTTTATATAATCTATGTATGTAATTCTCTATGCAAATTAAATTGTATCCAAATCGATCACTTCCAGGAAACATTTGCCTTCAGATGCAATTGACACCTCGAGTAAATCGATTAGCATTAACACACTGCTTCTATTATTTGACTGTTACAACAATCGGATTTTGTTGTTGCCTAAAGACTGATTTCAATTTGTTTCTATGTGAAAATTATTTGGCCACCTTAACAGCCGCTGTATACGCCAGTTTTTATACTCTGCCCGCTTTACAGAGAGCTTAACAGTGCACTATGGTCCAAAATCCACATTTTTTGGCATAAATTCGAAATATTAAGATATTTGCCCCAAATTTAGTTTGTACGCATATTTTGGCCCTCTAAGACGACATACCAAGTTTGGTTCAGTTTAGGCCACTAATTCATACTTGTATAGCTGCCATATAACCGATATGGCCGGCTTTTACTAACTTTGGTATTTTTTGCCGTTTTATTATACCCTGTACCCGTAGGGTAAAAAGGCTAAATTAGGTTTGTGCAAAGTATGTAACATTCAGAAGGAAGCATCTCCGACCCCATAAAGTATATATATTCTGAATCAGCATGACGAGAGAAATCGATCTAGATTTGTCCGTCCGTCTGGATGAACGCAAGGATCTCAGAAACTATAAAAGCTAGAATAACCAAAGTTGGCATCCAGATTCTCATAGGTCCGAGAAAGGACGAGTTTATTTTATTTTTTTTTAATTTTCCCCCCTTTCCCCCGCTACAGAATTTCGTCAATAGCGTCCACAAATACTACCTTAACCAAACTTTGCACACATAATTTATATATAATTGTCTACTGTTGTTCCAAATTTTATTCAATTCGGTCAATTCTAAGAAAAGTTATTAGCGAAACAAATTCTCGCCAGTACAACCCCACCAAACTGCAGCAACAAGTTCGCTCTTCTTCTTCCTGTTTTTGCTGCTGCTATGGGCGCATATAACTCAGTGACGGAAGTTTACCTGGGTACAGGGTATTACACTGTCGGGCTTGCTCGACTGTAGCGTTCTTTCTTGTTTAAAATAGGAGTTGGCCTATAATTCTTTCCAGTCCGATATATTTCAGTTTACAAAATAATTTATTTAAGTTTTTTCATATTCCCCCTCCCCCCCTCTCTCCTATAGAAAATATTGCCAATACTGTCCACATTTCGAAAGCTACATAAAAAACTTTTCACGCTGATTCTAATTACAACAATCTAGGTTTGTTTTAAATTTCATCGAAATCGATCAATTTATAGAAAAGTTATTAGCGAAACAATTTCAGTCCAGTACTATGCCAAGAAACTGCAGCATCTCCTTCTTCCTAACTTAGTGCAGCAAATTACGATATTTCTCAAAAGGTTGGTCCAGGGTGCAATTTTCTATCTAGAAATGACTGCACCACAACCCTTATATAAACGTAGGTATAGCAACCTTCTTCGAAGAACTTTGGGCCACCTCAAATGCAGACAGAGCGCGGCTGACGTCAGCATACGGTGTAAGTTACATGTGCCACCGGCAAACGCAAGAATTGTGTCCTGGCCAGGACGGCTCTTCGCAGAATTTTCCAACATTTCGCCCAAAGGCCGCCGCGGCATTCGTCGTCACTGAGCAAGACAAATGGATGTGGTTGCAGCTTTTGATGGGTTGCGGGTTGAGGTTCCAGGGTTCCCCGCCTGTTTTGAATTTGCATTTGGCGCACACTTCAAGTGCAGGTTCAGTTGTTGGATGTTGTTGTTGCTGCCTTCTCTGCGGGTATTTTGGCAATGACACTAATGCCGCTGCCCCTCCTGTCCTCCTCCCCTCTCTCCACTCCCCTCATTACGACTGATGCAACGTGCAGCGCATTAATCAAAATCTCATTTTCGGAGCTCG